ATATATATATATATATATTACCTTTGTGAAAAAAAATACAATCTTATTATGAACAAATTATTAATATATTCTTAGGAAATTTTTAATTATAGCATATATGCATAGGATATAAACAACATACGAAAATATACATAATTCGCGCTACGAAATATACATAAATATTTAAAACAACATATGTAAAGGCAAAAGTAACATTCCGAGTAAAATTTTGACAAAATTTAGAATATTTTCTTACTAATTTTTAAATCTTTGTTAGAAACATTTAATAGACTTGCGTAAAAATCTGACAACTCCAGCTGAAGATAGTACATAAACAACTCAGGGTGCCTGAACTTGGGTCCACACGGGATTCAAGCTCCGACTTGAAGATCACTGATCTGTACCACCCCCACCGAGTTCTTCTCATCTGGCAAGTCGACGGCACTGTACAAACCGTGGTCCGGACAGTCGACACCAAGAAAGCGTGCAGACATCATCGTCTCTCTCACGAGAGAGAAAGAGAGAGAGAGGAAGGGAGCGAGGCGAAGAGCGTGGAGGGAAGACGAAAGTGAAGAAAAAAAAAGAGTGGAATAATTCTTCGAAAGAACTTGAGAAGGTGTTGGATTTTCTGCTGCTGGCAGGATGCAGTTACCGGCAATCTTTGCCGGTTTTCTGCTGATCATCCGGCTGTCCAGGAGCGAAATCCTGACGCCGCCGTATTTCAATTTGGCTGAAGGCAAAGAGATCGAAGCTTCGGCTACGTGCGGTGTAGACACCACCGGTCCCGAACTTTATTGCAAACTCGTCGGCGCGAACGCCGATCAGGATGAAGATATCAACTTGATTCAAGGCCAGGTAAATATTAGCGATAAAAATATTGTAAAAGAAATCGATAGTGCTTATTTGTGATACAGTGTGTAATATAATGTTTATTAATTAAATATAATTAAATATGATTTATCAAATTTTCTTTTGAAATAATAAATTAGTCAAAATTAAATTAATAATTAGAAAAACTGTTGTAAAAAAAAACTTTTTTCAGTGAAACTACAAAATATTAAAAACTTATACCGAATACTAAACAATTTTTTTATTTTTAGATATTTTTATATATAGAGTATATAGATATAGAAATAATTTATAGATATAAGGTAGAAAAAAATTATGTTTTTTTGCAACTTATCTGTTGAATAAATATCATGTGAAAATTAATTTAACGAATATATTCTTACATGCCAAGAAATTTATGATATTTTCGTCTTCAGTATTCGCACCGAATTTTATCTATTATCGTTAGGTCCTATGAGTCCAAGAGTTTATCAATTCTGAGGCATCGACGTGATTACTCAACACTTCCTTTTTTGTTTTCTTTCTTTTCATATTAATAGCTATTCGCGTATTCATCGTCAAAATAAATGTAATATTTTATGTAAACATTTATAATTATATAGTTCTCGCACTTTTTCTGTCTATCTGAGAATTACGATAAGGTGTTATGATAAAGAATCGGGAGAGATGAATGAAACCATTGATTAGCTTTCATCAATCGAGCGGTGGACGTATAAAGGAATTTATTGAAGAAATTGATGAGAGATTTTTTCACGTAGCTTTTTTATTATATATATAAAGTTTATTCACATATGTTAATAAATTTATTATATATATATGTCTTCTTCCTTTTACTATTATCTATACTTTTAATATTTTCTGAGAAAAAATTAAAAATTTTTTTTAAAAGTTCTAATTAAAAATTTTTTTGCTGAAATAATAATATGAATACATTATTAAAAAGTGAAATAAAATTATTTTCTATATATTTTTGTAATACGTTTGTAATTCGTCAGCGTGGTTGTGGCATTCTAGTCTATTCTAAAAATTAATATTATTCGCGATACATTAAACATTTTGTGGAATCAGAACAAAAGACAACTACAAGGCTCTTCTATAAGATTCCAGCTAAAAACCAGTTTGCACGGTTTATGATTGTGTTTGAAGAATGCGCTAGACTCGCAGGATCGCGTTTCTTATACGATGCTTTATCGTCGACAATAGAAATCGCTCGCACATAATGTGTACATAATACATTTATTAAAAATATTAAAACAATGCGTTTATATATAATATCCACACGTTTAATTTTTTTACCATGTTAAAATATTATAATGTCTGAAAATTTTATCCTAATTATCAAAATTATCTGTATAATTGTTTATATTTTAATTATATTACAATGTTGGTTAGCATCCAAGTTAGATCACTAGTATTTAAGACCACGAGATATCAGTTTATGACACCGTTTTTCATCATATACCTATCTATGTGGGTAAAAGAAGATGAAACCGAAGTGAACTAGAAGCGAGGAGTCTGATAAAACAGAAGATATGAATGACCTCTCGATAACACTCGATCGTTCACCCACCGAAATTAAGAAGCTTTCTATGCCATGTACAGATTTCAGAAAAAGAACTCTTTTTTTCAAATTTATCTTTTAACTATCTAAATTTACATTGCTATATTAAGATTTGTAATTAAAATTTTGTTTTTAAAATTTTAATGTAATATAGCAATTTAAGTATATGTGTGACGAAAATAAATAAAAATTATGTGGGCTAAGTTTCTTCTCGCAAAAGATTCTTATTTCGTTCAGCTTATACATGTAAGATAAATTTTCTATATATATATATATTAAATTTCATTAATTCTTTTGTCTTTTCGATGTAATGATAAATATTGTTTTTCCATAGGTATGCGATTATTGTGATCCTGAAAATCCTGAAAAAAGACACCCGCCCGAGTATGCGGTCGATGGTATGGAAACGTGGTGGCAATCACCACCTTTATCCAGGGGGATGAAATACAATGAAGTTAATCTGACGATCAATCTGGGACAGGTAAGTTACTTATGATATAAAATGTACAGATTATTAACAAAAGTTTTTGGAATATGTAAAGGTCTGATTCAGAAGTAACAGGAAATAATGATGCGCGATTCTTTTATCGGCGACATAAACATTCTATCGCATAAGTAGGCGTTTTCCTGCAAGTGGGAAGATTTATCATTGGTTTACTTCCGGAGAATAATGAAAAGTATTAAAGTCTCGAAGACGAATGAGGGAAAATTTAGTTATCAGTTATATCATCGAAAATTGCAGATATATTTTTTCAAAAAATTTTTTGCGAATATCTTAGTTTCCAATAAATTAATATCCAATTAATCCATTGATACTTTTGAATTAAAACTATTTGGATATTGACGATCTATCCATATAATTCTATTAGTCTAACTAGCTGTTATTACAGAAGTATATAGTTTATCTTTTCGTACTCAAAGGCTCTCTGCTCTCGCTCCTTCGCTAATCATCTTCTTAGAAAGATTCATTTACACCGTTGCAATGTTAGAACATTCCTTCTTCTCTTTCTCTCCCTCTCTCTTTCTCTTTTTAATAATTTATTTCTAATGTTTTTTCAAATATTTTATTTCTTTTTTTCTTTCTTTAGTTCTGATATATTCTTAATTATGCTCGAAATTTATTACAGTCTCAAATTTCTTAGTTCTATTATCCTAGAAAAGAATAATTCTTTGTCCCTATTTCTCCTTCTGTCTCACTTTTTCTTTTAGCTAGCATTTATACTTTTCATTTCAGTAATCGTAGTTCTCTCTTAAAGTATCGAGCCCTACATGGCACACATCTGGCATTCAGTCCTCGATTTTTAACTTTAGGGTTCACATTATTTTGTCTAAAATAGCGCAGGAACGTATATTTTTTTACAAAGTTAAGATTGAAAGCCATAAATTTCATTAGATAAAGCAATAATATAGATTCTTCCGTAAATAATGTATATAGATAATATGTTTAGTAGAATAAAAAGATTTTCGGAAAATAAAGAGAAAAATGGATAAGAATTTTTGTTTATTAGAAAAAATAAAAATCAAGGAAATAGAAGGGAAAATTTGAAACAGATTTTTTTCAGGAATTTCACGTAGCTTACGTTTACATACGAATGGGTAATTCACCTCGGCCAGGACTCTGGATCCTGGAAAAGTCGAAAGATTATGGCAAAACTTGGTCGCCCTGGCAATACTTTTCGGATTCCGCCAGCGATTGTCTGACCTACTTTGGGGTAGACAGTCACAAACCGATTACTCGAGATGACAGCGTAATTTGCACGACTGAATATTCAAAAGTTGTGCCCCTCGAAGGTGGCGAGATTCCGATCTCTATCTTAAATAATCGACCCTCAGCGAAGCACTATTTCAATTCGACTTTGTTACAAGAGTGGACGCGGGCAACCAACGTTCGTTTTCGCTTTCTCAGGACGAAGAACTTGTTGGGACATCTTATGTCCGTCGTTCGTCAAGATCCTACCGTTACCAGAAGAGTAAGTTGACACGTTTACTCTCATTTTCTCGTTGATATTTGAGTCTTGAGATGATTCTATACTTGTCGTTGAAATAAATTTTTATTTTACCGTACAAAAGAAATTGACATTCTATAATTTGTTAGTAATATTTCTCATATATATTGCAGTTTTTTTAAATTTATTTTTAATTTGTTTAAAAAAGTTTATTTGTATTACAGTACTTTTATTCGATCAAAGATATCAGTATTGGCGGTCGTTGTATGTGCAACGGTCACGCGGACATTTGCGACATTCAAGACCCTAACATGCCGAAGAAACTAGTCTGCCGGTGCCAGCACAATACTTGCGGACCTCAGTGTGCAACGTGTTGCAAAGGTTTCGAGCAAAAAAAATGGAGACAGTCCACAGCATCACAGAAATTCATATGTGAACGTAAGAATAATTTACTATCTCAATATTTAAGAATTAGCTTAACGTCTATCAATTATTATAGGAATAATAAATATAGATTTGTTAACTAATTTTAGTTGTTGAAAATTATTTTTTTGAATCTGTAAATTATTTATAATAACAAGTTGACTTTTATTGCTTCATTAAAATTTTATTGCTACTTTACTCTTATGAGAATAGCAGAGAATGGATTTGCGGAGATATAGATTATCTTTTTTAACAATGAATTTATGTTTGCAGCTTGCAACTGCTTTGAACATTCAGACGAGTGCATTTACGATCCGATCATTGATGAAAAACATTTATCATTGGATATTTACGGTAATTACGAGGGTGGTGGTATTTGTCAGAATTGCAAGCACAATACTGAAGGCATCAACTGCAATCGCTGCAAACCCAAATTCTACAGACCTTGGGACAAACCACTCAATGCAACTGACGTATGTCAACGTAAGTTTATTTAAGATATAAATTACTTTTAGTATTTCTTATGAATTTTACAAATTGAACTTTTTACATGTTTAATTAGCCTGCAATTGTGATTATTTTTACTCTACTGGAGATTGCTCCGATTCCAATGGAAAATGTGAGTGTCGCAAAGAATTCACACCGCCGAATTGCGACTCTTGCAATTACGGATACTTTGGCTATCCTAATTGCTTACCCTGTCAATGTGATTTGCGAGGTACCGACGGTTATTATTGCGAAGCAATTGACGGTTATTGTCCCTGCAAGCTAAACTATGCCGGTCACTACTGTAATCTCTGCGCGGAAGGATATTACAATTTTCCCGACTGCTTACGTAAGTGAATCTTAAAAGTTATTCTAACGTCTTTAAAGTTGTTTAGAAGGTAACGTCAATCACTACGATTTCAGCTTGTGATTGCAATCCTCTGGGTGCTCTGGATGATGTCTGCGACGTGATATCTGGTAACTGTACGTGCAAAAACAATTACGGAGGCAGAACTTGTAACATTTGCGAGGACGGGTATTACAATTATCCTTTTTGCACATGTACGACATAAGTTTTTAGCTATTATAATTTTTGATTATACATTTAAGAAAATACTATGACTATTACAGCATAATACCGAATTTATGTATTTTCTCAATGACAATACAAATTTCATTGAACTGCTGATGATTTTTCTCTAATGACTATTTTCTTTTATTTTTCTTTATTCTGTAGAAATTTAAATCTTTTTTTCCAATAAAAAAGAAAATATTTTTAGATCTTTTGTATCACAAAAAATTTAACATTGTTTAAACATAATACAATAAAACAGGATAAATTGTTTCTATATTTATGACATGAATTTTAAGCATGATTTCTTTGTGCAATTTTTAGATTGCAATTGTGATGCGCGCGGAACGCAACCCGGTATTTGCGATAAGACGGATGGCGTTTGTTTGTGCAAAGAAGGATACGGTGGCGTTAGATGCGACCAATGCACACCTGGATATTACGGCTATCCTAATTGCGTACCATGTAACTGTAGTTCCGTCGGGTCATCCAGCATCAGTTGTGATTCTACGGGCAAGTGCTCATGCCTCGCCAATTTCGCCGGAAGGACTTGCAGTCAATGCAGTCCAGGATACTATAAATATCCAGAATGCATTGGTATGTAATTCACACGTCGAAGTTCTCATTATTTTATTATTTTTAAATAATTTAATAATATTGACATTTTAATTTTTATCTTATTAATTAAATTAATCATAGCTCTATATTTTGTGTCAATTAAATATCTTTTAATATTTTACTTTTAGCATGTAATTGCGATCATGGTTCGATCGGTGTGTCCTGTGACGGCGAAGGTAAATGTCAATGCCGCGAGAACTTCGACGGCATTCGATGTGAGCAATGTAAAGAGAGCTACTACAACTTTCCTACTTGTGAGGGTTGCAACTGCGATCCGGCTGGCATAGTCGCAACTTTTCAAGGTTGCGGCTCTTTGCCGCCCGGTGAACTTTGCCAATGCAAGGAGCGCGTTGAAGGAAGAATATGTAACCAATGCAAGCCGCTTTATTGGAATCTGCAGCCTTACAACCCAGACGGTTGCGAAGGTTCGGATTTATTTCGGATATAATAAATAATTTCCATTAACACATTGTATTTATAAAGTAATATTATATTTTATGTGTTAAAAAGGAATAATTATATAACATTAAAATATTTGATTTTTTATAAAGTGTATTTGTATTTAAGAATGTCATTGTAACATTCCTGGAGTTATCGGCAACATCGGTGAGTGTGACACTAAGACTGGGCAGTGTATCTGTAAACCTGGCGTAACCGATAGAGGATGTAGCCGATGCATCGACGGAACATATAATCTTCAGGAAAACAATCTCTTTGGTTGTTCTGGTAAGTTAATCAACTATTTCGTAATATTTAATTTTTAATTTTAACGCCACATCTTTTAATTAAGATTGCTCTTGCGACGTTGGCGGTTCCGTCAACCCGGTATGTGACAAGCAAACTGGCCAATGTCCTTGCCAACCACGAATTACCGGTCTAACGTGCAAGGAACCTCTAAAGGCGCACTACTTTCCTACCCTTCATCAGTATCAATACGAAGCCGAGGTTGGTAAAACTCTTAGTGGAAGCAGTGTCCGCTACGGCTTCGCGGAAGATATCTTTCCGGATTTCAGTTGGAAAGGTTACGCCGAATTTACTACGCAACAAAGGGAGATTATACTGGGCGTGGGTATCGGCAAGTCTTCGCTCTACCGAATGGTTTTACGTTATGTTAATCCCAATAATGAGTCCGTCCTCGGTATCATCACTATCATTCCTGACAGTCTATCTGAAATAGAGCAGAAGTTTACAGTCAACTTTAAACCGACCGTTCGCCCAGCCTTCGTAACAGTTGCCGGACCATATGGCAACCATCCATTACCTATGGTGATGAATCCTGGACACTGGTCCATCAAAATTGCCACAGAGAAAACGTTCCTTGATTACTTCGTTTTATTACCATCGGAATACTACGAGGGCGGCATATTGACACAGGACGTGAATGTGCCCTGCGAAGTCGGTTACAAGGGACTCTGCAGGCATTATGGATATCCGAATTTGACACGGTTTGATTCAGTCCACGGCGCTGGTGGTTTCCTTAGTGAGAACAATGTCCGGATCCCATTAACCGAGTATTTTACTGATCACGAGACTTTGCAAGAAATTAACGAGGATGAGGTGCCACTCATAAACAATCAACAAGAAGAAATCCATTTTGAACTAAGAATCAGCAAACCTGGTCCTCACGTTCTCGTGGTGACGTATGTTACTCCGAGGAATGAGCAAGATACGTCAGTACTATTAATTGAGGCGAATACCGTTGGCAAAGGCAGAGTCACCCTCAATCCCTGTAGGTATACCAGTACATGTCGTCAGGTTGTTACCGATACTTACGGTAAGGTGGCTGTCATGAATTTCTCATCGAACTACGTTAGCTTGGTACTGACCGGTGAGCCGACCTCAAACATCGCGATCGACTCGATAGTGGCGATTCCCTATCATCAATGGTCGCTGGATTATATAAAGCCCAAATCTATCTGTGTAAGAAAAAATGGTAAATGTATACAAGGACTTTTTCCCGATGCCGCCGACGCCAAGAAGATCGAATTCGAGACTTCTAACAACATTCTCGAAGCCGAAATTCGACCTCACGGTATTTATGATAACACCACTAAATTGATCTATCTAGGCGATGGCGATATGGTGGATATTCACGCGAAGGTTTCCGAACCGGGAGATTACATCTTTGTGGTACAGTATTATCAACCGGACCACCCTCAGTTTGAGCTAGATGTGCTAGTGCAGAACGGCAAATTCTACGAAGCGAAAGTGCCGGTTCCTCACTGTCCTAGTAACAGCGGCTGTCGTAGCATTATACGTCAAATTGACAACAACGATACCCGATTTCAGCTGATTGAAAATTTTGTGCTAACACTAAAAGAGCCTGGCCGCGGTATTTGGTTAGATTATGTCCTGGTGATCCCGGCGGATCAGTACAATGACAAGATCCTCAGTAAATTGCAGTTTGACGAGACAAATGAGTTCATTAAACGTTGCGGCAGTAATCATTTCCATATCAACGTCACCGAGGATGGCTTCTGCCGTGACTCAACTTTTTCGTTAACGGCTAACTATAATAATGGTGCATTGCCTTGCAATTGCGATGGCGAAGGCTCCACTAGTTTTGAGTGCGAAAAATTCGGCGGCCAATGTCCTTGTCGGCCGAATATCATCGGCAGACGATGCGAGGTCTGCAAAACTGGCTTTTACGGCTTTCCTACATGTAGACCGTGTAATTGCCCTACTCTCTGTGAACGGGATACTGGCAGATGCATTTGTCCACCTCGAGTAACGGGTCAACGATGCGATCAATGTGAAGCTGGCACCTACGGATTCCACCCAATTATCGGCTGTGAGGAGTGCAACTGTTCACCCTTGGGTGTTTTGGATGGTGATCTGCAGTGCGATTTACTCGACGGCAGCTGCCGTTGCAAGGAGAACGTAGTGGGCCGTCAATGTGACCGTTGCCATGCTGGTTACTCGCAATTCCCACATTGCGAACGCTGCGACTGCGATTCACGCGGTACAACTGCTGATATCTGCGACCAATATACGGCCGAGTGCTTCTGCAAGGCAAATGTGCAAGGTCAGGCGTGTGACGTGTGCCGCGAAGGCACCTTTAATATTCAAGCTGAAAATACAGACGGTTGTACCAAGTGCTTCTGCTTTGGCAAGACTACTAGGTACGTTTTCCATATTTGCCATTGTCATTGATAATAAACGCTGTAAATCTATAAATCATCATTAATAGGGATTAATTCTTATCATAATGTGTAAGTTAAAAGAATTTATATTTTTAAAAAGATGGAATATTTTTATTCAGATGCGCCTCCGCGAATCTCTATTGGACTCATCTTATGGATATGGCTGGTTGGGAACTAATCATACCCATCGATAAGAGTGGCAACTTTAGCAATCTATCAACCTATCCTGTGGAGAATGCAACTACAATTACGGTTTCGCTCATCGCTAACGACACTTTCGAGAATGTCATCTTCTTTTCGGCGCCTGATACCTATCTCAATAAAAAATTGACTTCTTACGGTGGTTACTTAAATTATAGTGTCTATTATAGCACGGGACCCTTCGGCAAGGCTGTCAGCGCCGCTGATGTAATTCTTCAAGGCGCTAATACTACGTTATTTTATTATTCCGATGAACAGCCACCATCCTTTGTCAACTTTAGAGCGTCCGTTCGCCTCGTCGAAGCTAACTTCGTAACTAGCAACAGACTCAGCGCTACTAGAGAACAAATTATGGTTGTTCTCGAAGATCTGCGTGGAATATACGTGCGTGCTACATACTGGAACCCCAGCATTACGGCTTCGTATGTATCAATAATTCTTTCATAGAAATGTCGAAGAATCCTTATTATTTCCATGTAATAAATATCTTTACAGATTATCATACGTAACTTGGGACATTACAACGGAACAATATTCAGCTCAATATAGCATCCCGGCTGGCAGCGTAGAACAGTGTCAGTGTCCACCTAATTATCAAGGATTCTCGTGCGAGGAATGCGCTCCGGGATATTATAGGATTAAGTCAGGACCATACGGAGGGTACTGCGCGCCTTGTCAATGTAACGGCCATGCGACTACGTGCGATGTAAACACCGGAATCTGTCAGGTAAATTATGAAAACTTCGCTAGTCTAAAATTTCTTGTTTTTCTTCAAATCTGTAACTTTTCTGATTCTCTTTGCAGAATTGCAAGAATGGCACCACCGGCAACCATTGCGAATTCTGTGAGCAAGGTTACTACGGCAATGCCACTGTGGGCACACCGACCGATTGTCTGATTTGTGCATGCCCGTTACCGGTCGCCTCCAATAACTTTGCTACCGGCTGTGAGGTGAATGAGGAGGGCAATAAGATTAGCTGCGACTGTCTGCCCGGATATTACGGTGCTCGATGCGAGGCTTGCGCTGCCGGCTATTACGGCAATCCTGAAGTATACGGTGATTACTGCAAGCCGTGCGAATGCTCCGGCAATATTGACACCAATCAAATTGACTCATGCGACAGTATCACTGGTGAATGTTTGCAATGTTTAAACAATACCTCTGGTGAAGCGTGTAATCTGTGTGCTCCCGGTTATTTCGGTGATGCCGTGGAGCGAAAAGACTGTCGTAGCTGCGTATGCGATAACTGCGGAATGGAACATTGCGACAGCTACAGTGGTCAATGTTTCTGTCGACAAAATGTTATCGGTGAACAATGCGATCGCTGTGCACCCAATCATTATGGTTTCGGTACCTGCAAGGGATGCAAATCATGCGACTGCGACTTGGCCTCGGAAAATAGCCAATGCGACGGAGAAACGGGACAGTGTAAATGCATGCCAGGCGTCACCGGTCGCAGATGCGACCAGTGTATTCAGGGATATTGGAATTACGGACGTGATGGATGCACCTGTAAGACCATTTCCCACTGCATGATCACTTTTATAAATATTGTGAATAAAATTGTTAATTATAGAACAAAAATTTATTTTGCTACAAACAAGATGTCTTTATTAAATTATTTAATAATTATTAAAATTAAACAAGCTTTACTAATTAAAGTTTGAATTAAAAATTAGATAAATCATTAGGATATAATCATACAGTGTAAAAATTAAATATATAATCATCCCATTTCTTTCAGCGTGTGAATGTCACACTGGTTATTCTGTCGGCGTGTCTTGCGACACATCCACTGGTCAATGCACCTGTTTACCTGGTGTGATTGGTGAGAAGTGCGATCACTGTCCGTATCGGCACGTACTTATTCCGTCACAGGGTTGTTTCTCTTGCGGTTCCTGCACGGGAAATCTTTTGGATGTCACAGATGAACTAGCTGATTTAGTAGAGCCTATCTCGCGCGAGTATAATGTAAATAAAATATAATAATTTATGAATATATTTTATGCACATTGTTTAAAAATCAATATAATTTTATGTTTTTTATACATTTTCAGACAGTTGCAGAAGGCTACTTTACGAATCAACGACTTAAATTTATCAACGATATGGTCAACGAACTCTATCCCGAAGTTAAATTATTAGATCCAAGTCAGGTAAATCTACTACCGATACAGGAGAAGCTGAAGCAGATGGAACATGAAGTGTATTATCATAAACAACAGATTGATTTTACTACCGAAGACGTTAACAAGTGGAAGAACGACTCAGAGAATACATTGCGGAATATGAACACTCTGGAGGAAGATGTGGTACATAAGATTGACTTAGTCAATCAGATCGTATCGGAAGTGCAATCATTGGCATTGAATATTGAATTAGGAACGAGCGCCAAAGTCGATAATGCATTGAACGAAGCGAAGGAGATTCTAAAAAGAATCAAAGATGTCTCTTTCACTAAATTTCGGGACGATGCCGTGGACCAAGCGAATCAGGCTAATATACTGATTTCCGAAATGCAACAGTACAGTTTTCCGGCTAGCAACCTAAGCTTCGCTGTAACTGATCTCAACATTAGGATAAAAAATGTCAGTGTCAAAATGGATGACTTGCTGGACACTGTGCAATTAGCTCAAAATACTGCTAGTATAGCGGATAAGCTGAATCGAGAGAATAGAATCGCTGTACAGAGTGGCAACCTTGACGTTGTGAAAAACTCCACTGCCGAGGCGAGAGAAGACTTGGAGGCTGGAGAACAACTCAAGAATAATGCCAGTGATTTCCTTAATCATGCAAAGACCAATCTCGATCTTTTACGTGAGTGTTTTTGATACTTTGATATTTTGATAGATAATTGTAAAAATAGCGATAAAATGATTGCAGAAATAATTTTCCTTTTCTTTAGAATTGCCTTTTTCTTTTCTAGGAACTAACACTGACAGCGATGTGATTGATCGACTGAACAACACCATTGCGTTAAATGATGAAATGTTAATCGATCTGGCTGACCCAGTACAGAAAGCCCATGCTCACGCAGCATATCTACACGATCGTTCACTAGAATTGGATAGTTTACTAACTGATACTCGCAATACTAACGCGGTGAGGGCTGTTTCAGCATACAGGGATATAGAAACCGCAATTCAAACCGCAAAAGATGCTGCAGACAATGCTATAATTGCTGCTGACAACGCAACAACATTGGTAAAAAAAACTGAACATCATAATTTTGATTCATATCTATTTTCTTGAATGAATTTTATTTTATTTATTATTGTCAGACTGATGGACTCGAGGAAAAGATGTTGGACTCTCGAAACGAGTGCTTTAAATTGTTAGCTGCCGCGCAGTTCGCTCTAACAAAAACGACAGGCCAGCCCGAGAATGATTTGCGAGACGCAAGGAACAACGCGACTCTGATTGAGAATCAAAATAAACGTAACAAGGAGCTTCTCGACTCTATCGACAAGTATAGCTTGCTTTCTATGTTTTAAAAAGTCAAGTCATTTTATTTTCTATAATTAATTATAAAAATAAGTTTATTAAATTAAATTATGTTTTAGAAGCAACAAGCATAAGGCACATTGAGTATTGAAATATACATCTATTTTTCGTAAATAAAAATTGCAGGACACTTGACAACATTCCTTCACAATCGTCTTCAGTTGCACATGACGCCATGAATCAAGCAATGAATGTCGAACATAACATTAAGAACGCCATCGATGACATGAACGACATTGTGAATGAAATTCCGGAAGATTTGCGGGAGACAAAGCAACTCTCGAAGAATACCTCAGAGACAATCCGTGAAATCTCGCAAGCAAATAAGCAGTTGGATGGTGTATATAAAGTGATGCCAAATATCAACAGTTTACTAAACAGTTTAAATGACAATCAGAAATCAATTGACGCAACCGGGAATGATTTACAAAGTAAAATCGAGGCTCTAAGAAACAAAATCGCGAATGCGCGGGAACTGGCCAATCGGTTCAAAACCGGTTTGACCTTCTACAGGAATACTACTTTGGAACTGAAGAATCCAGAGAGCTTGCCATTACTATCTACATCCACAAAGATATCCCTATATTTCAGGACCAACAAGACCAACGGTTTTCTGTTGTATCTCGGCAATGAGGAAAAGTCAAAGCTACCACGCTCTAAAGCGGTGAGCCTAATAAAATCTAATATAATAGTTATGAAAGTGAGTTAATTTGAATCAAAGAGATAAGAAGAAAATTTTCTCAACAATAATTTTATATTTCGTAGCATGACTTCATGGCGTTGTTGATTGAAAACGGATATCCTGTGCTTATAGTCGATCTGGGATCTGGACCAGAGAAGATAAATCATAACAAATTTGTATCGGATAATGTGTGGCGGCAGATAATTATCGACAGGTTGGAATCGTATGGCTTTATCTAGTCTAAATTAATTTGTATTGTAATTTTGTATTGATGTTTCTCGAAATTTTTCTTTCAGAACTGGTAAAAATGTCAAGTTGATCGTTCGCGAAGATATTGGAGAGGGCAAAGATATATTATACGAGAAAGAACGGGTTTTATCAGGTCCATATTATATCTTTAATGTGGATCAGGAACATTCGAAACTCTTTGTCGGTGGCTATCCATCGTCCTTCCGCATCCAAAATGCCGTAACCGCATCTTCTTTCGAGGGCGAAATGGAGGAACTGATGATAGGCGATATACCGGTATCTTTCTGGAACTTTGTCGACGGCGAAAATAATCAGAAGAGTGCACTCGAACGCGACAAACTCATTAATTTCGCGCCGAGCAGAGGCTACCGTTTTGATCGACACGGCTACGCAATACTTAGCAAAAAGAGCTCGCAGATTACACCAGATACTAGAAAGTTTATCATCAAACTATCTTTCAAAACATTTGTGGAGGATGGATTGATTTATTTAATGGGCAAGGGAAGGCAGTTCTTGTCTTTAGAAATGAGAAACGGTCAATTGTTGTATCAGTACGATCTTGGCGAGGGTACTATTGTTTTGAGGTCCTCAGATAAATACAACGATGGTAATTGGCACACTCTAGAAGCCATTAGACAAGATACAATGGGCGCACTCAAGGTAGATGACCACACAGTTGCATCTAGTCAAGAGAGAGGAACCACCAAGCCTTTAGTCACATCGGATCACATTTATTTTGGTGGATATCCGCCTAATGCAAAGCATCCTTATGATTCGGTTATCAATAATGGCTTCGAAGGGTGCATCGATGACGTAGTTATCTTAGATACTTCAGTCGATCTCACGCGCAACGTACAGGCATTTGGAGTTATGCCTGGTTGTCCAGTCAGGGTAATTAACGGAATACTAATTGTTCGCAGAAAATAAATAAAAAATTTCCTGAAAAATCCAACTTTTTATTATGCAGATTTTTGTCTTATCACTAATTCTTGAAATTATATCTTTCAGTTTGCCAGTCTTGTCTCTTTTGAGAAAAACACACCCGGCTATGTGAGGTGGCGCAATTTAGCGTCCGATGGTCTACAAGTGAATTTCAAGTTTAAGACATTGGCTAGCGATGGTCTCATTTTCTACGCAACCAACGACGATCGGCAAAACGCGGCTACTAGTTATCTATCACTGGTGGACGGACAATTGGTATTCACTAGTCAGGGTGAGGAACTTAGAACAAGCCCGTCGGATGTTAAGTTCAACGATAACGAATGGCACGTGGTAACTGCCACTCATGATCAATCGGGTCTTAGCCTCGACATTGACGATACGAAGAACTATAGCACCGATTCAGCGCCGCCACCATTGCATTTTCTCTACGGCAACTTATACATTGGTGGACTGCCATCAAATTTCAATTTGGATGATCCAAAAATCGTGCCCTTCGTAGGTTGTATTGGCGATACGACCCTCAACAGCGAGATCATAATTAATTTTGCTAATACAACCGAGAGACCACATGCATTTCTAGGAAAGTGCAAAGGCAGTGATCAGACGCGTACGTTAAGATATTTTAATTTATAAAATTATTGTCTCTCTCAAAGTATATTTTAGCTATACCTAAATTTGTACCGCTTAAATTTTTTCAGTTTCACCATCGATCGTTGAACCTGAATTCTTGCCACCATTATTACCGTCGGAAGGTCTGGAAGATATAGTAGAATCGTCTACTCAAATCAGTAAGTGAGCTAAAACATTATATATATATATATATATAGTTATTTAAATTTTCTTTAAATTAGTCTGATAACACTCTTATTTGATAAATGACTGTCGTCCATGCTCTTATACTTGACTGACTGTATATATATATATACATATACATATACATATATATAAATTATATTGACATAAATAATGATGGATAGATAGGACAGAAACAAATTATTTTCTTTTAGATATAATAGAAGTCGATGTGGACAAAGATGAGAAAGAAGAAGAAGAACCAGAATTGGAAGGGCGAATTAACGTAGACAAATATGATTTCACGACAACGACTACTACGCAAAGACCAAGCAGCCTGACTGAACAGCCTGAAACCATCGACAAATGTCACTTGCCATACTACCCAGCAATAGATCCTGACCTTGAGAATGCTTGGCGATTTGGTACTTTTCATATTTTTTTAATATAATAAGTGGAAAATATTCAAATGAAAATTTTTCAAATGCGGCTCATGACTCTTTTTAGGCACTATAAGGAACAGTAGATTAGAATATAGAACGCTGAATGGAAGATACAAAGATGACTATGATTTCCAGATTGATATAAAAACAATGGCGGACGATGGAATTATATTCTATACTTCCGATCTCAGTAAACAAGACTTAATCGCCGTGTATATGCTTGGTGGAAAAGTAAGGGATCAATAAAAAATGATTTTTCCTCAGAAAAGTTATTTTATAAATCATCTTGATCTTGGAAAATTATTCTTCTAGATTCACTACAAATTCGACTGTGGAAGCGGACCAGCATTGCTAGTGAGTGACAAGATGATCAATAACAATCAATGGCATATCATAATCTTCAAGAGAGATGGTAACTACGGTCAACTAATTGTAGATGATGAGGAAGCAGTGACCGGATACTCGTTGGGACATACCACTGCTATCAATGTCAATCCGCCATTCTTCGTAGCAGGCGTCTTGCCAGAAATATCCAGTATTGCGTACACAAATATTGTAAGTTACATGATTTTTAATCTTATACTTAGGATTGCAAAGGTATAATAATTTCTTTTTATTTCAGGGTCTTAATAAGACGTTTAGCGGCTGTCTAGGAAATTTCATGATGAACGGACAACTCGTCGGAGAACCATCGGAAAAAATAGGTGTAATACCTTGTTCGAAGAGAGTCGAGCCCGGTCTCTTCTTCTTTCCAGGAAATGGCAGTAATTTATTCAAAGCAGGTAAAGGAAATTAATACAAATATATGTTTCGTCAAATAAAAAATCTTTCAATATCATCTTTAATTGTAGCTAACTAAATCAAAGATTATTAATAAAAAAAAATATGTAATTTTCAGTCGATCGATTTAACGTGGATCGCACAGTCGATATTCAAATGGATATAAAACCGCGATCCACATCTGGACACTTACTATCGGTACACGGTAAAAGGGATTATCTCGTCCTAGAGATGATTAATGGTACCGTTAAATTTCTCATAAAAACTCAGAAAGGTTCGATTGAAACAGCATTCGAGCCGACGAAACCAAACTCTCTGTGTGATGGCCATTGGCACAATATTCGAGGTATCGAGTCAATTAATGAGTACTTTTACAGCTGTGGTGTTTATCTTAACCATTTTTTTTTATTGATTTACTTTTTTTAACTAAAATAAGGTTTAGCAATTACTAATGTTTAGCAATTTTACATAAATCGCGTTCTACTATTACTTCTTTTTTCAACAGCTGTTAAACAGAAAAATGCAGTACTCCTATCAGTCGATCACAAACCGGCACCACCTGGAATCGGCGGCAAAAACGTAGCTAGAGTCTTATCAAAACATCCGATATTCATCGGTGGACATCCGATGTTGGGAAGAAGATTACGAGGAAGTACCTCGCAGACTCAATATGTCGGCTGTATCAATAATATTTTGATCAACATGAGACCAGTCAGCATTAGGCCTGAACGAGCCTACGGACAAGTTATCACCGGTGTATGCCCGACAATTTAAAATAAGAGTTTATGAATTTATAGCTTTTATCCAAAATTTCAATTAGATCTTCTCATCGAAATACTTTATTAATTTCTAACACACTTAATAAAAAAATAACAGATACTTATCAACAAAAATTTAATTACTTGATAAGTCAAAAATCGAATTTGTAAATTAATTTTTCTCTGAGAAAAAAATATTTTTTCGGATCAAAAAACTATGAAAAATTATTCATATAGGATAAGAAAACTCGTAACCAAAGATATGATTTAATAAAGAATGTAAGTTATAAAATATGTGTAGGCATATAGAGGAAGTTGGTTTTGTACATGATGCAAACTATTAAAAAGGAAATAAGAATTTTTGTAAAAGTCATAAGCGTTTTTTATTTTGTGAATATATATGTAATATTTGTGCGTTATCGCATTCGGCACATCTTGTAAATAAATCCAAATTCTTACATAATAAGTTCTCAAAAGTTCATTCTCATGGATTTTCGTCTCTTTTTGGCTCAGTCTTGGTATCATTAACATTACAAAAATCGCTATTTTAATATAACGCTTGCCTCTTTGTCAAGACACGATGTCGTATCACTATAATGATCATAATGAAAACATTTGCGATGTAAGCACAATATTAAAACATTTTAATGAAAGTATAAATAAAATGTATTTATAAATGCAAGTTTGTTAAAAGCATAGCTTTGTATCATAATGCAATTATTATACTAAAATTTTACGTAAAAACTATCCTAGAAGTGCAATCGTGAAAACTGTGAAAACTGCATAATTGATTTTAAGTTTAACAACGAAATTATACTTATGAAGAAACAATGAATAAAAATGTCACAAAACTGTCCAAACGTTGTAATTTGGAAAATAGTGTGTGCATAAATTTTTTTAATACAATATTTAAGAAAAATATTCGTTTTTTCTATTGTAAAATAGATCTCGTAAATTATTATTGTATTCATAATAACAATAATGATTAGTCGTGACTCTTTAGCACTAAAGATTTAATATTCCAAAAGAATATATATGGAAAATCATATAGCATTATTCACTAAATCAGAATTCACAGCCATGCAAACGTTTCTTGCAATGTTTAATTTTAATATTTATTGATTGCTGATATCTGTTAATATAAAATATACACATTTGTGTAATTACATCTATTTATTGCGTCTAATTTAATTTGTGACAAAATTTGTGGATTGCATAATCCGAACAAAATAAGAAAAAAAATAAAAATACAAGGTATATTAAATCACTTGTGCTAATTGTAAGTAAAATCTGTGCTTTATTATAACTGTTACGTGTACCATATATGTATGTATATATATATCTGAGATATGCATATATATATACATATATATGTCTGTTCATCGAATTGTCTTACTATAATCTCTAGATATATAATTATGTATACTTCAAACTCACGATGTTTATCAGATAACATAATTTTTATCAAAAGGTACAAAAAAGTACAAAAGAGTTAACAATTATCGCTTTTTAGCGATAATTTACGTATTTTTATCTAATTTCTTTTTCGAAGACTTATTGGAAGTAATATTAGAAGTAACACAAAACAGAATTAGAAATTTTTCCGAGAAAATAAATTCTAATATCTTTACCTTTATCTTTACATCTACCTCATTACATAATATTGTTTTATATCATTCTATAAAAAAAATAGAGTAGAAGATCAGTTACTGTCAAAAAAATAATTTTTAATAATCTGTCGGTCCTTAATCAGTAGAGGTATGCAGGATCTCAAAAATTCCCGAAACCCGATGCTTGAGACGGGACGTGAAGACGCGGATCAGGTCGGGATCCGATAATATTAATATTTTCGGGAAACTCGAATATTTTCGAGAAACCTGAATATTTTCGGGATCCCGTCCCGATCTCGAAAAGCATTCTCGTTTCCATCCCAACCCGATTTTGCACACCTCTATAAACCAGTATACTGCAAAGTAAGAAACTACATAAAAAAGCATTTAACGTTATACAATTCACAAATCATAATAGATCAGTATTGCGATACAAACTAATAGACCTAACTAATTGTTACAGTAATAATTATCACTGCTACATAATGTAGGATGCTCTATCTCTTACTATCAAATAATATTTTGATAGTATGAATTTTTAACTTTTCTTTTAAAAACAAAACGATAGAACATCCTAATACAGTGATACGACGAGGAAACAAAACGTGTCATCAACTCAGAGCAACCACACTATTTGTGACATATTCAACAAAGAATAATTAGTAACAATTTTTAGGAAATGCATTCTTATGCACAGAGATAGATGATAATAATGACCTCATTTATAATGCATGGAGTAAATTTCTAATAAGAAAAGAAAGAATTTAGGGAAGTACATATAAGTTGCAAGAAAAAAATTATCAGAAAGAAAAATGCAGTTTATGACAGGATCAATACAAGTCAAATTTTTAAAAAAGAGTCACACTATGGTGAATTTGCATTCCAAAATTGTGCTTATGTTTTCTCCAATCATTGCTTACGCTCTTCTCTCTCTCTCTCTCTCTCTCTCTAAAGTATTATAGTAAAACATTCACAGATCAAGTATCCGTAAATGATCCTGAAATGAACGATAAACGAACCGCCGATGAAAAAATGTACAATTCGATCAATCGACCGGCCAAGAAGGAGAGACAATGGTCGGTCATTTATCACGCGATTTCAGGAGATTTCTCACCGAAGTGGTATATCACAGTGCAACGATCCAGATACTCGATTGAGTTTTCCTGTGGGAGTTCGATCGAGGTAACCAAACGGCAAATCAAACCTGTCGCGGCGAGAAATATGTTTACCAGTATTATATTGCCGTATTGATTACAATTGCAATCCCAATCGAGCATGTACGTGACAATCGCGCCTCTAGAATCGCGTATCACAAAGGGCGACATATGCATCATCGTTTGCGTATGCTCAACGGCTTCGATTTATCTTCGGAATGAATTCGCATCAAGGACAATCCTGCAATATTAGGTTTTCAACCGTGAACGCCTGAATATCCCAATGAAGGAATTTTCCGAATAAAACTTAGCAATCAGATGATAATTCCGAATTAATTCTAACAAAATTCTAGAATAACACATCAATTCGCAAAGTATAGTAGAGCAAATTCGCTCCTCCGCGCATGCGATGTGATATCAGTGTTTCTGGGTCCGCGATTGTGTTCAATTAATCGTATTCATATACGCTGTCGAACAATTCTACTCGATGCCATGTGCAAAGATCATCACTAATCCAGGTTCAACCATCATATCCTCCGGCATGTGCATGTTATCACAGTGAAGGACCAACACCGCTTGTTTTCCAGGCACTCTTTTGCACACGTAATTGTCGTATTGTCGTCGAGAATTTTGTCTAGTCTCCAGAGAATTAAGACCTGGTGGCCATTTCCTCTCGTGGCAGTTTTCCATCAGTTCGTCGATCACATGAGGTGGACAATTATATTCCGACAGAGTTCTCTTGATCATTGTCTACAAATATGAAAAGAACAATTTTAGGATGAGTGTATATTCACAAAATCAATTTATCAATTGGTAAATAAACAATTCGTACCTGCAACAATTCATCAGGCGTGGAGATCATACCACCCCATCTGGTAACTCTAGCGCGGGGCAGAGACGCAGACCATCTGACAACATCGTCCCGTTCCATCTGGTCAGCGATCGCACGCATCGCCGGATTCGATACTCTCAGCGCGCGCATAAAGTCTTTCAGTAGATGGATCTCACGTTTGTGTTCATTGATTTGCAGCTGCTGCTCGTCGAGTTCACGCTTCATATCGCCTAGTTTTTGCTGCTGAGACTGTATGAGATTACGGAGCTCGCGCACGCAGTTATGATCCTTGAGCTCGTTCTTGGGAATGATCAAGCTGCAACCCTGCTCACACTGCATTGGTCTCTTCGGATTGTACTCACACTGCTCAAGATGCATCGCCAGGCAATCCAACTTGACGACCATGTTACAGCCATACATAATGTTGTCACATTTGATACACAAGCGGGCCAACAGATTTCTCAAGATTCTGGGAACTGCTCTAAGCTGAGTAGATGTGATGGGCGTTCGATCCAAGGGACACGTAGGCTGACGATTTATCCATTCGTTGATACAGGTGCGACAAAAGGCATGTTCACACACTGGTGCCTGTAACACATTACTCACCTACCAGTTTTTTCATAAGCTACCACAACTTTATAAAGCAGCAAAATATAGATACATGCTATTGCTGGTAAAACAAATCAATATCCACCAAAGATGAAATAATAAAAATTTCGAAATACAAAAATAATGTAAACAGATAGTTGAAAGTTAGAATATAGAAGTATAGTTATTTACGGATAGGGTTATTGTGACATTCAAATGAAGACAAAGAAAGAGAAGTTGAAAGTATATAGAAGCTTATTACGACAGCTTGTATATTTTGTATGTAAACATGTAAAGGCAAGCTTAATTTAGAACAAGTAGTATTTCTTCTACAAGAAGATACATGCTTCTTCCATAAGTATATAATAGCGTCTAGATTAAAAGCGGTAAGTCAAGCTAACCTATATTCGCAGATGCGCAATTTTGTTTCGCCTTTATTTCGAGGCAAGAGCAAGGTAACTTGGACAAGAACAACGGGAAGCCTCGGAAAATAAAGCAACACACTGGGCGACGCGTGAGATATTATGTATTCGAAAGCTCTTTCTCTTTCTCTTGGAGCGTCATTTGCGTCAAATGAAAATCTTGTAGTTTCATCGACCTCTCGTTTGCGTCGAGATGAGATTCTCGGGGTTAAAACTCGCGAAAATCGCGGGGCTTCTCCTCGATCTTGTCTCTCTTCGAAAATCGAAACGCTCCTCTCTCCTTTTTCGGACTTCGCAAATCTCTTCGTACAAAAACGCGCAGAACAAATAATGAAGGTTAGGTGAGAGTCGCAGAGTTGGGTCTCGCAGGAAGGTTTCCTCGGGTCAAACACGCGTCCTACCTGGACTGGATCTTCAAGCACGCCAGAGCATATCGGACAGACGAGCTCTTCGTCCACGTCCCCCTGGAAGCGGTTCACGTCAAACCCCATCGCGAATACGTGTGTCACCTCCTACCTCCCAGGCTCCCACTACCTCCTCCGTCGCGCTCCTTCTTCCTCCTCGCACGACTTTGGCGAGTCTTGCGACTCTCTCAAGTCTCTCAACGAGTGTCGCGAGCGACTCGCGACTGTCAGGAACGGATCTAGTCGTAAAGACACGAGGGAGTGCTCCTAATAATGGCCCAGGAGATTCAAACCTCGCTCTCCAGAGTTTTCCCTCACAAACCACCTTCAAACCTCTCCAAATTTCGTACGCAATAATTCCACGACTCTGCAAATATATATGCATCAAATATAAATTAATGTATATATATTTGTATACTTATATGATTTATTTTATTATTAATTGATATATATTTTGTATAAATATATTTAGTTTCAATTTTACTATCAAAATAATTTTATTATGTTTATGATTACGTGTAATATATTTCATAATTGTAAACACAGGTTTTTTAATTAGTTTAGTTCTTTGAAATATATAGATATAAATACACGCGTGAGAAATCACGGATGGCGAAGAATTGTTTAATATCGGCCACGATTGATTTTCGAATCCACGTGGACGCTGATCGTTGCGAAAGAGCGCACGCTTTTTCGCGCGAGTAGAGGGGCATGCTCGATTTATTGCGCGTGAAATTGTTAAATAACCGGGAGTTCCGTGAGTAGTCCATATAGACGTCGACGAACGCAAGAAGCGAGGACAGCACTGTGAGAGAAGACTCCCTCGTCTCGAGAGACCCAGACTCTCGCTACTGTTGCTGGACGATTTTACCGTTACATCCGCGAGTCCGTCCCGTTCTCGCGCTAAACGGCTCGCTTCCAAAACGCATATAGGTCAAAATTAACCGTCCGCTCCGTTGCTAGAGAAATGCTCGAGGAACGTTCACTTGGTCATTTTATTATGGGGTGGAACTGGGCGGAATTTTCGCTGAACAAATAATGAAGGGAATGCGAGGGAAGAGAACTCGAAGTGATTCTCGACAGATAAGGGTAACAAACAGCGTTCGCAGCTCGATCGTAGCCGCAGCCGAAAGCTAAATAACAATAATCTTAATATCGGCTGGAAGATCTACAACGAGACGTTCCGCACGCGGAAATCCGTAGATGTTCATTGTTCATTTAATCAAAATAGAAAGATTACAGCGGTTCGTAATCGGTCGGCAATTTGGTGCGCAGATGCGCGGCACGCACTTTGAAAATCGAGTACACCGGATGTACGCAAATGCCTTGACACCTATTTTGAGCGCAACTTTACGCGTATTGCATTACCGCACTGTCAACACTGTGACCATGGTGTGGTCACACTTCCATCTGTGACTGTGACCAGCTGTGTCCATGTATGACTGTGACCAACTGTGACACGGTCTAAACATTCGTGCATCGCGACCGTTAATTTAATTGTTATTCTCTCAACGTAATCCGTTGAACTATTGAAGAGAAAAAGAAATATATATATGTCTTGCTTCTGTTTACCGTGCTTGTCGCAAAGATACAATTCGCTTGGATTTGATCTCGATAACTGGATCTTAGAGCCGAACAGTAAACGGAATGAATATACATATATATATATATATATATATATTAAGCTATTAAGATTACCGCACTGTCAACACTGTGACCATGGTGTGGTCACACTTCCATCTGTGACTGTGACCAGCTGTGTCCATGTATGACTGTGACCAACTGTGACACGGTCTAAACATTCGTGCATCGCGACCGTTAATTTAATTGTTATTCTCTCAACGTAATCCGTTGAACTATTGAAGAGAAAAAGAAATATATATATGTCTTGCTTCTGTTTACCGTGCTTGTCGCAAAGATACAATTCGCTTGGATTTGATCTCGATAACTGGATCTTAGAGCCGAACAGTAAACGGAATGAATATACATATATATATATATATATATTAAGCTATTAAGCCAACGGGAACTTACAAAAGATTCTCACCAGCAGCTATCCGTATATGATGAATTAATAATTCTCTTTATATGTATATATATATATTTTTTTTTTCTTCAAAGAAATTATAAGGTCCGGTTATTTCCGTGTTTCTCTCTCTCGCAGTCGACATCAATTAAAAAGTAACATATAATATAATTTGATTGTATTACAATTTCTCACTCAACAAAATAAAGTACCCATCAAGTGAGAAGCTTTGATATCGAGTACTCGTCAGATTGCTTCTTTTGCCTTGAGCGAACTGCAATGTTCACGAAATACTTATTGGCATTTAACGTATATATCAAAATATACAGAGATAACCACTTTTTAGATAGAAGTGTTGAAGTCAATGTATAAATACTATATGCTTCCAAAGGGAAGTTTTGAAGATTGATTGATTGATTGATCTTTATTAGCTTCAATAGTTACAATGTGTGATACAATCTAATATAATGCCTATTTATTAATTACCCAACATACATCTACGCATTGCACTGTCCCTCTCCACTCCTTATATATGGTACTAACGCGCTCTCTTAAAGTTATTTAATCTTTTTCCCTTCCTTATTTCATTTGGTAAAATGTTGTACATTTTAAACCCATCATATAACAATATTCTCTCTCTGTTCCTATCTAGTTTTACATCTTTTAATATGTGTACATTTCCCTTTGATCTTGTTTGTACTTGCTCTATCTCATTTTTTTAAATAACCCAGACAATCTCCATTTACTATTTTATGTATCAAAATACAAATACATTGTGTCTTATTTAACATACCATAAATTGCAATGCCTCAAGCATGTCTTCAATTCTTGTTCTGTAATTGCATCGTAATATAATTCTCATTCCTTTATTTGGTAACTTCTGTAAATACTGCACATTATAATTGTTTAAACTCATTAATATAGACGAACAGTATTCAAACAACGAAGCAATTATCGCTTTGTATACAACGCACTTCATATATGATGTCAAATTCATACTAATTCGACGAAATGCCCTCAATTTCGATTCTTATCTTTTTCCCTAGATAATTAACATGTGCTGTAAAATTTAAATTTCTATCTATAATAACACCCAAGTATATGTATTTAATTTCACTAACCATTTCTAATGCTATACATTAGTTTCTAATGCTATATACATTAATGCTCACATTTAATTTTTCAGTCTATTATTTTTCAACCATTCAATTTTTTGCATTTGTATATTAAAATTATCATTTATTTCTTCAAGAGAGAGATGATGGATTATTGAGAGATCCACTATATAACTTTTATTTATGAAGAAATTTAAGAAACTTTTAGTTATCACCTCGTATTTTATCTAACTATACAAACTTAGGTAAATATATAGAATAAGGGAGCCCCCCCCGATGACCTTGACAACATATGTTAAGGTCAAGATCATCGGGGGGGGCTCCCCTATTCTATATATTTACCCAAACTTATATTGATAACAAGTTTCCATTAATATTTTGTGAAGAAATATAACGTTGTTGAAATAATACTCAAACGTCAACATTCATTTTGGATTCACATGCAAGCTTTTGAATTTTTCAAGTATCACTTATGATAAAAACTTTGCGTCTTTGTGATCAGTTTTTCTTCGTCTGCAGACTTAATGATAGATAAGATGAGGAGTGATAATCTATACACTTGGTATTACGAACGAAAAGACGGGATCAGTGTCCGAGTTAACGTCGTGGAAATAAGCTGAACGGCGCAGAATTGGTGAAAATGAGCACTTTGAGTGTGACAAACAGTCAGAATTTCGAAAATGAAATCCGAGGTATTCCATTTTTTAACAACTATCATTGCTTCATCTTTCCATCGCGCATGCATATTTAAAAAAAAATAGCCCCCCAGTATCCGAGAATGGATTGGATTTTGTCTATTCGAATTCGTATTTTAAATAGCGAATACTTTTTTGTGGATTCAATTGAATTCAATTAGATTCAATTAGATTCAATTGGATACAACTGGATTGAAAAACTGCGTTTCCTATTCAAAACTATGAATTGAACAGTATTCACTGTGGTCACAAACGCACTGAAAAAGCTAATATTATTTTATGATTGAAAAGTATACAGATATGCTCCATGCAATTCCTATAAATGAACAAAAACGTATTCGAAAAGGATTCATTTTAACATTCATGAATCCGTATTTCTGAAAATTTGAATCCATTTTAATCCATTTCAATCCATTCTCGGATACTGGGGGCCTTTATGTTGCCTCAGATTGATGTTCCTGTTATCGCAATACCTTTACATTTCGTCCGTGGTGTTTCTCGTGATTTAACTTTCTTTCATACACTTGCAATAAGATTAATTGATCATGCGAGCCAATTAAGATATTACTGAAATGAGAAAGCGCTTTTCTCTAATAATTTCTGTTAACTGTACTATCAGAAGACGCGGTAGTGTCTCCGGCCATGTTCAAAAACTAAAAGACACTACAAGTCTCTTATCCCGAGTCCATTCTTCGGGGGTGCATAACTACTAAAATATAAAAAATTTTGAATCGAACGTTATATGTCCTGAAAGACGGCATCGTCACGAGTAATTTGAGCAAAAAAAAATTTAAATCGGTCAAGCCATTCTGGAGATATTTTATTTTCTCCCGAATAATAAAAATAAATATTTAATAGATAATAAAATAAATATTAAGCTTTAGCATCTGTCATCGTTTTCTATATATCGATAACGCAAATTGATTTATCGTTACTTTAATTATATGGTTTTTGAAAGTCATTTATACGTATATTTATATCTGTGAAAGTAAACAGGTAATTTAGCGATAATAAAAATTGTTTTGTGAACAGAAAACTAGCTGTTGCTATTTTATTTAAGTAAAAATAACTTACAAAAATAATAGATAACTATTATAATAATAAGATAATTAAAAATATTAAACAATAAAAATTATAAGTGTATTATAATAGATAAAAGTGCTATGCAAACATTTGATTAGTGACATAATTACTTAAAGTAAAATATTAAACTTTAATCCAAACATTAAGGAATAAGAAAAAATGTTTAGACTAGTAATATTGTGAACAATCCATTTATCTCTTCAAAGAATATCGAGTATTGCATCCGCTAATATAACCGACGATAATTGCTAAACTTATTTGTGATAATAATCTTATGTCTCTTTTAACAACGTCATTTATCTACGATAAATCGTTGTAATTTGTACAAGTGTGATAAGAAATTATCGAATAATAAATCAAAGTAAAAAAATGATATAAACAATATAATATCATTACATTTGTCACACATATTACTCAGATGTATGACAGTAAATACATTCCTGATTGATATATTCAATATTTATCAATTTAATTGTTGTATTTATATACCTTCTTTTATTAGCTTGGTACATAATTGGACCATGACCCAGTTTAAACAGTCAAATTGTCCCTATGAATATTGATGATCGACGTAAACGATCGCCGGTTACTTTTACTTAGATAGATTAAAATAGGCTACCAATATGATTTTTAATATAACAGTTAATGTAATTAATTAATGTACTTAATTTATGCTGGATGTAAAATAATTATCATAAATGCAGACACTGTAATGATAAAGATAATTCTCAGCATTATTTAACTTTGCCAGTTTTATCTTGATCTTCTTACGGCAGCGTCTATATCTCAGGCCTCAATGATGTAATCACTTTGTCAGCTTCTTAAATATTTATATTATATGTTTCAGATCACCCGGATAACCAAAACAATGTCGAAGAACAAGAAAAGGTGAGATCAATCTCCAAGTTAGGAGATCAGCACCTAAGTCGTAAATATTCATGAAACGCTATAAAGGTCTACACAAAATTTATAGTATATTTATTTAAATATAAAAAATATTTAGATAAGTTTTAGACAGATAAATAGATAAGATCACCGCAATTATTTGAGTTTCGTAATAATCCTGTCTAATAATCTTATTTGTCTGTGGTTTTGGTGCGGTAAGTATCTACGAAAAATTTGTATGAACATAGGAATTATTTTCGCTCAATGATAGTGTTACCATGAGATCAGAAAATTATTATTATTACCACATATTTAAGCGTATATAACGCGTTATATAATTTAATGATCATACGAGACTGATATTTCCATACGTATATTAACGTTAATGTTGTTTGACGAGAAATAAGGAAAGGGGAACGCAAAATATTCTGGAATCATTTGACGAAACATAAACTTCCCGCGTTTTTCGATATTGCAAAATTATCAGATAAACGTCCCGCATCGAATTTACATTCATACGTATATATCATCGACCGCGTTTTTATTGAGCAACTTCTCTGTTTTCTTCGTGTTACCTGTCGTCGCAATCCTATTTCGCTTTGCGAAAGATTCTGCAATATACATGATATTTTAGTTTGAGATGAAAGTTTCGCACGAAAGTTTCAACGGCAAATTTTATAACGGACTTTATGGATTGATTTTTCTTAGATTAAAATGATCTCGATAGATTAGTTTAATAGATTTTTCTTCTGAATTACCTTGCTAACAATCGGGATTGGAGTGATTTTTGCTTTAGAACAATCATATCTTTCTTTCAATGCTTATCACTTGCTGTAAACAAAAGAAAAGATCAGCCTACAATTAAGTGTAATCATTGTATTCTTCGGATCGTTCTACTTGTGTAGATAATACATAGTTATAAAAGAAGTAGTATATGTGTGTACACACATGCAATACGTTACTTTAGTGGGAAAGAATCTGACAATTTAATCGGCGGATGTGCAGCTGCGGTCTTTTTAATTATACTCATATAGCGCGCGAGTTTCGATAACCACACTAGAAAAATATATGTATACGCTTCTCTGGCTTTTCCTCATAATTTATACCAACAAGGTCAGCAGCATAAGTCACAGCTTTTTAATATTAGTATCGCATTTCCTTTACTAGAAGTAAACGCATTTTGTTAACTACCGTTGTGACACATTAAATATTTATTAGATATCTAAGAAAAGGTCAATTATTCTTAAAAATCACGACGTCACGTTTATCTCTTTTTCATACTCTATACATTATTATATTGTGTACGTATAATGCAATGACGTCTAGCGTTTTCCAATCACGGACTCTCGTAATCTCTCGAGATAAATCCAGCTTAAATCGAAAACACTGTCACAGCGCATATCTGAACCACTTGTAAAAATGAACGGCAGGTTGTGCACGTGGCCCTGTATGTGACCACGTACTTTCACATCCATCGAAATACTACACCGCACTGTTCGCTCGCACTACGACGTAATGTCTGCCTGTCACCTGTGTATTATGCCTGCTTTGAGATATACTGTACCTACATGGTTGTACCTACCTACCTACTTACTCTGGCAACAATATTATGCTCACTCATGGTCGCTGATGTCAGTCTCGATGGTGAAGCGCGTGCGAACGGAACTGTCAAAATCGACGACGAGTGATCGCTCGTTGTCACTCCTCGATCTGAACGATCCGGAGTAGACAAACCTTGTGACAAATCGGGCAAAACATCCTCCTGATGAAGTGAAGCGATCCTCGTGGTAGTGCTCAATATTGATATACACATACAGCTTTTTTTTCCTCTCAATTGTGGTTAAAATACGGTTTATTACGTATATGTGAATAAAATGCCTCATGTGCGTCAGGTAATTTTGTTAAAATGTACTTATGACATTGTTGTATTTAAGTAGGTAGTTTAGTATAATTTAACTGATTATAAGTGTCTTTTTCTGAACGATAAACTAGAAACCGCATTCGTTCTATCTCGATGGAATACTGAAAAAATATTTTAGAATTTTATAAAATATACAAATATTGAAAAAAAAGAGATGAAATATTGATTTCTTGCAATTTTCAAAAACGCATTGCTTCTAAATTATATATCTTTACTCAAACATATAATACGTATAGTTCGCGACTTATCTATCTTTTACTTAACAAAAGTTAACTCAAATCATATCGTTTGATCTTCATGAACACATATATTCAAATTGATATAGAAATCGATGTGATTTTTTAAATATTTTTAAACGCCTTGCTTCATGCTTTTGTTGTACATTTTGACTGATGCGCTGAAAAGAAAAATATGTGCTATAATTTACATAAACTCAAATTATCACAACAATAGTGACATGAATAGGTTTGGAGAATAAATCGGTTTTTCAATTGAGCGCTGGTTCACTGATTCACTTCCATTCACGTCAGCATGCCAGACTAATTCCCTTCATCACGACCGCGTCTACTGTACTTTCTCCGAGACACAAGTTTTTCATCAAATTCATTTTGATCGTCGTGCGACAATCTCAATCCGGATGTCGCGAGACACCGATTTTCGTTTATGATCAACATTAGAATACTATTGTATGATATTGCTATATATATCTAAAATTAGATAATCCTTTCGAACTCGTTTCTCACATATTATACATATATCATTATGAAATTGTTTATTGACATCGTAATTGTACGACCAGTACTACCAAGATTTAGGTTTGATTCGGAGCGATTGTCGAGAGAAAAGTACAAATATTACAGATAATGATATCTCTGTAATCGCGAGTTTTGTCATATTCGTACGTACTACGTAATTAATTGTTGCAAAGGAGAACGCATTATCTGAGTTTGTAAATATTCTATGTATTTTTATAGTTCGCATTCGTGCAAACTTCCAAGAAAGCAACAGCATAAAACGTCTCGGAAACTCTTAAACCTCTTATTCAAAAATTTTTATTTATATTTGTAATATCATCTAAATACGATACTAACACATTAAATTTTATTTTAAAGTTGTATTAAATATTAAACTAATTAAAAACATTTAATTGTGGCCAAAGTTATGGTATAAACATAAACAGTATATAAATAATTAATAGCTTATGTTGTTTTAAAACTTTTTGACGCATCTGCGTTCTTTGAGAATATATTATATATACATATCGTAATTCATTAGCTAGTGATATTTTCTATGATGTCCTGTTTTTACACGATGGCATTTAAACGCGAGTCTTCAATAACTGCCTAGTAAAGATAATCTTAAACAAGTATTATACTTGTATACTTATTTAAGATTCCCCCTTTTCTAAGATTCCCTTAAAAGCGACATTAGTATTGCTGGTGTCAGAAATCAGCTACGTCATTATTTCATAATAATCTAGAATTGTGTCGCACAATTTTTAAACATCAGTACTTTCTGTATCAGCTGATAGCATATCGTAATGCAATTTAAATTATACTTTACATCATTCGCTATCGACGCTCATACATACCAGGCTATGTCAGTCAGAAGACAATGTTATCATTGTGACTTAATTGTCAAAGCCATAACTGAAAATTAATTATTGTAAGACAGAATATACTAATTTATTCTATAGTAATCTCTTCGCGTGTTAAAATTTTCTTGAAGGCAAAACATGTTTTGAATTGTATCAAAGATCGCTAAATAATATATTTGTAAACAACTTTGTTTTTAAAAATTTAATAGCAAAAACAGAGAGAGAGAGCTATGTACAATATTTACATATATTAAATACTTACAATTTACATGAATTTTCATTGTTAGGAATTTTTTTCATTACTACATATAGTATATTCCACGTCTTATATAACTTCAACATAAATAAATAAGAAGTCCATTAGAACGTCCTTGCTACTCTATATTTACATTTTAATTTTAAATTTCATTATTTTCCTAAAATATAACGTAAATATCGACACGTTTTAGGAAAACAGTACGTCACATAATGAGAGAATACCGTGTAAAAACAAGATATTCTCATATGAAGTACTATTATGTCACAGGCTCATTTTGTTATCTCATTTCTATAAAGTCTTTATCCCCAATCGTTAACTTCAAGACAAATGGCATGAATGATAATTCGGTCGGCACGACCTTCGCATTTCGATCTTCGCTGGAAAACATTAGAAACTAAATGTGCCTACTATGTAACAATGATATTTATTAATTAGGTCAATGTGATTACGCTAGACATTTTTCTTTGAAAAGCTACTTTCATAACTCGGGTCGAGCGTCTCATTAACAGAAAATCAAATTTTTCAACTACTTAAAAATTATGGTTTTATTTTTGAGTAAAAATTTTCATGTTTAAAGTCGCGAAATTATCCAATTCGAGAAATAATTACCACTTTTATTTTATATGTAACTTGATTTCTGTTTAAGTCTTTATATATACATACATGTCAATAAATTTTTTCAAAATTTGCAAAAATTACTATAACCTTAATAATACTAAAATTGATAAAGTGAGCTGAAAATAACTAGGATAAAATAATTTTTTTATTGAAATACATTCATATTCAATTTTGATGTTTTATTATAAAAAGGATGACTTTTCCTTTTAAAAAATTTTCAGAAAGTGAAGTATCCTAAATCGGTGTTCTTCATTATCAGCAATGAATTCTGCGAGAGATTTTCTTATTATGGAATGCGCAGTAAGTATATAAATTATAAATCGTCAGCGTCAATTTAAGTATAAACGTCAGACATATTATGTAATTTATGTAGTTTAAAAATGATGCTACAATAATTAGAACAATTGCTCCTTTAATTATAACTCTGGCTAATAATGCGATTTTTAATTTGCAATTATACAATAAATTTTTCGAGCTAATCATTTTCTATAAATTGGCAATTATATAAGTTGTTTATAAATTCAGTTCAATCTTTCTAACGTATGTTGTTGTATGTATACTAGTAATAAATTATAACAATCTCTAAACAAATGTGATATTTTCTGAAATTCTACGTTATTAGGTTGGTGCAAAAGTTCTTACCAAAATTGTTTTTTTGCAATTTTTTAATTACAATAAAAAGATCGATGCATTATATATTAATCGAAATATTTTCCATTGTTTTCCACGATTTTTTTCCATCTTTCTGGCATACGGATTACGTCGAAAAAAGGAATCGTCTTTTGAAGCGATCGACCCATTTTCGTATATCCTCTGTATTTGAGAAGCTCTCACCGGATAAGCCGTGTTGCATTGATCTAAACAGATAATAATCAGAAGAGGCAATGTCTGGAGTAAGCTGGATGCGGGAAAATATTGCATTCCAACTTTAACAATGCTTCCTTAGTCTCCTTAGCACTATATGTGTCTTGCCAGTTCGGATAATTTGTGTGGCATCCACTTTTCATACTTTTAAATTTTCCCATTGCATTTAAACAGTGAACAATTGTTGAATGATCAACTCCCAGTTGTGTTGCAAGCTCACGAGTCGATTAGACTCAATCTTCATTAAGTAATGCTTGAAATTCTTCCTCTTCCACAGATGCAGGACGTCCGGTGCGTTCACTGACATTGAAATCACTGTCTTTAAATCGTTTAAACCAATTCACGTTTCGATCACTATAACATTTTTATGTGCGTGAAGTTAGCACCGCCATTTTGTAAAAAAAATAAAATAAAATTTGTGCTGAATTGTGCTCGATTGCCATGTAGATATATTTATCCGCATCGGCAAGAACTTTTGTACCGACTTAATATTATATTATTTTTTTATAACTTATTTTTTATTTAACAGAATAATGTAATTATATTATAACTATCTTCTTAATAATAAAAAAAAATTAAATATATATTAATAAAATTTATAACATAGAGCGAGATATTTATTTTTAATTCTGCAATTCCGATAATATTAAAACTCTGATATATAATATATTGAAAAATAACTTTAACATTGATCTTGAATCTGATTAATTCATACATAATTTAATGGAAATATTAACAGGAAATTATCTTTTTTATTTTTAGCCGTTCTGTCACTGTATTTATATAACATGTTGAAATACAGTGAAAGCACATCTACAATAATCTATCATATCTTCAGCGCTTTCGTCTATTTTTTTCCACTGCTCGGTGCGATCATATCTGATTCATGGCTTGGAAAGTTCAATACTATTCTTTATTTGAGTATTGTATATTCACTTGGACAAGTGATTCTATCTTTGAGTGCGGCAACTCCCATCGGATTACCCGCACAGTCAGTATAAAAAAAAATGTCTAAAATAACCATAATATTAACATACTGAAAATTAGCACACATATATATATATATATATATATATTATAAAAAAACTTCTGTTCTAGATTTCCATTTGAATTTAAATATCATTTAAATGCTACTAATTTTTAATACTAGTTGTTAATTTTAGTTGACAAAAGAATGAACTTTTCTAAATTTTTTCAGAGAATTTTCTATATTAGGTTTATTCCTAATAGCGCTTGGTACAGGCGGGATAAAACCATGTGTTTCGGCTTTCGGAGGCGATCAGTTTGTATTGCCTCAACAAGAAAAGCAGTTGGCAATGTTCTTTTCTTTTTTCTACTTCGCCATTAACACAGGCTCTCTAATCTCAACTTTACTAACTCCGGTGATTCGTGAAACGAAGTGCTTTGGCGCCGATTGTTTCTTCGTAGCATTTTTGGTACCAGCAGTTCTGATGATTACATCAATTTGTAAGAATGAGAAAGCACGAAACAGATCTCTCATTTATACAGATGCAGTTTTTTAATTAATGCCATTTTAATTTTAATTTTTAGTTGTATTCGTCTTGGGGAAAAGAATGTACAAAATAGTCAATCCTACGGGCAATCTCATCGTTAAAGTTACCAAATGCGTTTGCGTAAGTCGTATCATCGAAAACACGATAAATGACATCTGTGCAGACTTAGAGCCCCAACACACACTTTTGCATGACGCATAAAGCATGTGCATAAGGAATTTCATTGGCCCATTTTCTTATGCATGAGTCAATGGACCAATCAAATTCTTTATGTATATGGTTTATGCGTTATATGGGTTATGCAAAAGTCTGTGCTCCCCGCTTTAGACTGAAAAAATTAAAAGACAAATTATTATTTAACAAACAATTTACTAGACAATTTGAAAATTGTTTAGATATATATCTTTTTATTTAAACATTTTTTTCATACACAAATATACGTGAGTGTAAAATAATTGTATTATCTGTCTATACGATTTAAAAATGACAAATATAAATTATAATTCTTAGAACTCTCTCTTGAATTCATGAATGCGAGAATTGTTTTAAATATTTCTAGATTATATGTAGATCTATGGATTTTTGAATTTTCTATAAAAATATGAGCCATAAAAATTAGAGTCTTTAATTAAAATCTCTTTTATACATTTAAATCTAAAAATTTTTAATTTTATAAAAATTAGAATTCAAAAATCTCTTATAAGATAAATATACTCTCTTTATGTTTCAAAAAAACTAGCATGCAATCGGCAATAAAATTAAAGACAAAGGAGAAAAACGCGATCACTGGCTCGATCATGCCGATGATGTTTATGACAACAAACTGATCGAAGACATTAAAATCGCACTAGGGGTCTTGAAATTGTACATACCACTGCCAATATTCTGGGCGCTTTACGATCAGCAAGGCTCTCAATGGACTTTCCAAGCAACACGAATGGATGGTCAAATAGGCAGTTTTGTACTATTGCCTGATCAGTTACAAGCCGTCAATCCGTTGTTGATCATCATTTTTATACCAATCTTCGAAACTTGTATTTATCCAATTTTTACCAAAATACATTTCATTGATACACCCTTGAAGAAGCTCGTTACCGGCGGTCTCTTAGCCAGCGTTGCTTTTGTCGCAGCCGGTATTGTCGAAATAAATATCGAGGTAGTAATAAAGAGAAATTTTATAGATATTCGAAATTGTTGACATATATCTGTGATGAATGCTTAATTAAATTCTTTTAAAGATATGGAAATTTTAATTATATATAATATCACATATTTCTATATCTTATCAAATTCGAATTATGTAATTACTAACGCTACAATCCTTACATGAAAAATGTTATGTATTATATTTTGATTTCCAGAAAACATATCCGAAGTTACCGACAAACGGATTCGCTCAAATCCGAATCTTTAATACAATGGATTGTGGAGTGAGTGTAAATTTGGATCAAAATCCAATTAGTATAAGCTCACTAAACATGTCAGAAGTTTTAGAATTAAAAGCAAACGGATCTGTTAAAATACCTTACACAGCAGATTTCACAGAGTGCTATGAAAAGGGTTACACTAAATTGAAAAATTACCAAGGTAAAATTTATAAATTTTAGATTTCGAAAAATGTGTAGCACGTATTTTAAAAATAACTTCTTTTATCAGGAGAAACGACTGCCAAGGAGGCCGTTGCAACATCTTGGGTTATAACACCCTCGGGATTACAAGATAACTATGAAGACATGGTGAGCAAACCGGAGAATGGTAAGCCAATGATCCGCAGTCTCATCTATCTTGAGTCTGGATTAAGTAACACTACATTGAAGTTGCTCAGTAAGGACAAGACGGAAGTAGTATCAATTCCAGTATCGATCAGTAGTTTAAATTCCATACACTCGAAGTTAGTAGAAATTCAGGATCCAAGCGAATATGACGTCTACTTAAACGGAACACTGCTGGACGAGAATGTGCCTTTCAAATCCGGTGGAGTGTACGCCGTGATAGGTTCCAACCTTATGTATAATAATCAACCGAAGATCAGCGGCAAAACAGTCATAGTCACGCCACCCAATTCGCTGCACATGGCTTGGATGTTGCCGCAATATATCATCCTCACAATGGGCGAGGTGATGTTCGCTGTAACGGGTCTGCAGTTTGCTTTTACTCAAGCTCCAGTATCCATGAAGTCTCTATTACAAGCCGGTTGGTTACTGACCGTGGCATTCGGCAATATCATTGTAGTTATCATAAAGGGCGCACATCCCTTTGAGAGGCTAGTAAGTGACCAAAACCAACTATGTATTCTATTTTGGGTCTTAATATCCATTTTTCACATTTCTCATACGATTTATTTATTTATTCCACAGGTGTACGAGATTTTTCTATATGCCGGTTTGATGGCAGTAGTCATGATAATATTCGGTGTGATGACTATATTCTACAAATATGTGGATATATCAGAGGAAGAAGATAATGCAATACCCTTGAATGAAAAGAGTGGGAATGTCAATTTGGCCTACAAAGAGGATGAAAAACGATGAGCGATGACTAAGTGAGAAATTATAATTTTCATGTTCCCTTATTTGAAGAATAAGAATACTTGCCACAGATATAAAGGATTTCTCTCACATCGAGGATCCGTTTATTTCTATTGAACATCTGTTATTCTCGAGAGTGGATATGACAAGAGATATAGGATTTTTTTTCTTAATACACAATCTCACTCTCAGTCTTTCTTTTTTCGTAAAAATAATTGTCAGACTGAAGGTATATATATATATATTCATTTTATAATAATAAATATGAAAGTTTGTGGAGTGAGAAATGGTATATTTTATATATTAAGATAACATTAAAAATTTTTTTAATTGTAAATATTATGTAAAAAATTTTAATAGTTTTTATATTCTTACAAAATTAAAGCAAAATTAATAAATTATTATTAAAATTGTACAAGTGCTGTGAATGATACAATGAAAATTATAAAACTGGAAATTTGTAGAATGAAAAAAGAATTAAATTATATAAAAATATTATAAATGACAAATTTAACAAGCGAGCGGAATTGATTAAAGTAAAAGAAATTTGTTTATTGAACGGCTTTGCCTGTCGAAAGCAGATAATGATTGTATAATAAGATTTTCGAAATTAATAGCTTTAAATAAAAACTATATACATATAAATATTTTTATACAAATTCAAAATTTTACTATATAAATGTTTGCAAAAAAAAAATCAGTAACAATTGTATTTAATTATTTAAATTGTACAAAATAAAATAAAAAAATATTAAAAACATGTAAAGGTATGTACAAATTTTAGTGATCAAAATTGTGTGTGAATATTTATATATCTGAACTATACACTCTGTAATTCATATAATAACATTTATTTCCATAAATCCGGCTAAATTTCCACAAGCTCTAGTATAACATAATAATGCGTGTCATATAAGACAAGAATTTCAAAAGTGCAGTAAATGGATTATATCGTGTATAAATCTTATCACGAAACATCATTTTACGAAACATCAATTCGATATACGTTATTTTACGATTTAACGCACATGTTGGGGCGTATTCAAATTTCTACCCGAATGCTCTCCCCGGGTATCATGTCATCTTTGTTTAACGTTCAGTAAACAACGATAGAGTGATATCCGGATGACACTGGGGTGGGAATCTGAACGTAGTCCATGAAGGGTATTTTTTTTTTCATTAAAGAGAATTATTGGCAGATAATACCTTCTAGCTTCTGCATCAATATTCAGAGTGGTGACCTTTAACAGAACTGAATCACTCTTCAGATGCACGTACAAAATCCGTGTAAACTAATAGTTTTCAACCCTAAATTATACAATAACTTGTTCCTTTATTTTAATAAATATACAAGTAGGATAAGGACAACTTATCTATGTAAACAATTTGTTTCTAGCCCCATAATATTATTTATGTGCGAATAGATTGTAATAAAGAATTTCATACTTTTTTTTCAAACAATCTATCCCTTTCAAACGACCTATAACTATTTCGCATTATCTCACTCTTTTTCTTTCCAGAGAGAGAGAGAGAGTTTCATCTATTCGTTTTTTTTAAATGTATTCAGTTCCTTAATTTTATACATCTACGATCAATTCTAACATTCTCCTCTCTCCTATGATGTAATATAATTTATCGCTATAAATATTATTACACAAAGTGATTCTTAATTTCACCCGATAAATAAACACATTCGATATCTGGACTTATTAATGGGATTTTTTTCTACTTTTATTTATCGCAATTGAGAATCGCTTGTATGTACAAAGTATTCCAACTGTCATCATTTTTTTTTAGTTTGTCACTCTACAGGGTCAATGTCGTTAAAATTCTTTCTGTTAACACGATTGGATATTCTATACATTCGTAGTATTTTTCAATAAGTCGATTAACTTAACTTTATTATAACAAACTTAACTTTATTCATGGCGTGATCTAAGAAACCTCAATATTGATGTGAGAGACACCGTATACATTTCGATTGCATCAAAATAAAAAATACTGTTTCGAATTTGTAAAACCTCGTACTTACCCATCGCTTAATAGATCTACTTAGTAATCCTGTATAGAATATCAGCTACGAACAAAAGATAGTGAATAGTAATTTATCAGTATTAAGACAGAGGATTGATAACGCAGCGCTTCGGAACTCGATCGTTGTGTTTTACGTTTTTAAGACTTCGACGTTTAACAGGAACCTCTCTCTGAAACAGATAATCGTTTTCGTGACAGTTTCATTCGCACGAACGCAAATCGTCTTTGCATTTAATTATCAAGAAACACGTTTTTTACGTATCAAAAGCTCACCCTGCGTGCTCGTATCTTGTCAAGTGCTTCGTCTATCTTGTCACGTACATTGTTATAAGCAATCGAACCGACATGGGCGGCCGCGTTAACTAGCGTTTCTGGTAAGATGTGGACAGGATCGGCGGTGCCCAACGTCTCGCCAATGAATGTTTTCTTCGATCCTGCATTGGAACTCGATCTATCAGAAGATTCACTCGACTGAGCGGATTGATACGGAGGATCAATCGAAGGTTCTTGCGGAGTATTATTGTGTGAGGTACAGAAATATTTTGGATAGTTATTAGCATCGTGGTAATGCCTTTCTTTTGTCCAAGTTTCCTTCATATAATTACTACCGAAACGCATATCGTGATCGTTTTTCGAAGTCGCTGTCGCCTTTGCTGTTCCTGTACCTGTTTCTCGTACATTCTTGGCCGTCGACACTTGCTCGTCATATCTATCGTTACCATAAGCCATATCAGTGATATCGGTTGTGTCGGTGACTGATGTGGTGTGGGAGTGGAAGCTTTGTGTGAAGTCATTCAAATCGGTTTGTGACTTACAATTACACTGCGATTGCAACTTCAAGTCGCAGTCGCAGTGAGTTTGTACAGTCAGGTAACTTGTATGTGAGTTTCTCACATCGTCGTACGAGTTGCTCGCATTGTCACGGGTATTGTATCCAACGTCATCTCGAAAATTCCATTTGCTCGGTCGCTCTACGTCGTCGTACGAGCTGCTCGCGTTGTTACGAGTATTGTATCCAACGTCATCTCGAAAATTCCATTTGTTCAGTCGATCTAGACGGAATGATTTTGAACAGCGAGTATTCTGACCTAGCTCTGTTAGTAACGGAACGGTCTTAGTCTTGGTAAAATGACCCCGACCACGAACTGAGTCGATACGGTCAAGAAACGGATTTTCATCAAGAGTTTGCGATATTTTTTTTGACACTTTATCAATTCGTTTTTTCATATCAGCGTTAACGGTTTGCCAATTGCGCTTTGCTAATTGATAATCGGTGTAGATTCTACCATGGATATCTATCACATAAGTGGAGCCCCCATAATCACAAAAATTAAAAGTTTTCTCCTCAGAATTTTCTTCGTTTGCCGAGAAATGTTCTTCGTTGAAGTGCATATAGCATGTAGGTGTAGGCGATGGTGACTCTGACAAGAGTTCGAAGCTAGGTGAATCTCGATTGCTGTCGTGTCGTCGTTGCTCGGTAGCGGGCGCCTCAACATGCGTAAATGATTCATCCCTACTTCCCAAAGTAGGCATCTGGATAATCTCAAAAGCATCTACGTCTTCCTCTTCTTGATCGCACGAACAAAAGCTGGTTTTATCGGTATCAGAGCACCAGGTGTCCCTACGGCGACCTTCGTTCAATATTTGGTGCCCAGTAACGGAGCAGCTCATACGAAGCTCGTCCTCGAGCATCTCTTTAGTTTCATCGTACGGTAGGTCCACGTGTGGAGGAACCAAGTTCTTCCGAGGAACAACATCTTCCCACGCATTATTTCGAGATTGCTCTTTGCCGCCGTCACTGTTTATGTTATTAGTAGTTACTGGAGTCATTCGTTGATGATATTTTTTCTTTCTTTTTTCCTCCTTCAAGCTTGCACAAATAACATCTTCAATAAGATCAAATTTTTTCTGCCGCAAAACATCTGCGGTATTCACGTTTCGCGATTCATACATGTGCTCTATTGAAGCGTCATCGCTTGACTGCTCTCCGTCCTGAGGCCTCATCTTTCTTTGATTCTTCTCACTTGAGTGTGAATCGAAATATCGAGAAAATCGTTTCGAGGAAGAAAGATGTGACTGGTTTCGGGATTGACCGTGTTTCTTTGAAGGGACAGATGTAGGGAGATCCAAGGGCATTCTGTTCAACATCTCCGTCATCTCTTTCACTACTTCTTGACTAATTGTAGTTATCATATCTTTCTTTGTCTGCAGATCTTCCGAAATGTTTACGTTCTGTGGCTCGTCCACACGTTCGATCGAGGCATCACTCGATTGTTCCTCGTCCTGAGATTTCATCCTCTTTTGATTCATTTCGTTCGAATCAAAGGGACATTTAGAATGTCGTTTTGAGAGAGAAGAATACGATTGACTTCGAGATTGACTTAGTTCTTTTAATGGAAGATACGCAAGGGAGTCTAAGCGTTCATTTAACACCACTGTCACGTTTTCTACCACTTTTTTAATGATTGTAGACACCATATCTTTTTTCATCTGAAAAACGATAAGATTAATTTTAGTATACAAGGATACATTCGGTTAATCATATCACTTACCGTTTCCATGTATTCCGTGAACCATGGAGGAGGTACCATATCTTTTTTCATCTGAAAAACAATAAGATTAATTTTAGTATACAAGGATAGATTCGGTTAATCATATCACTTACCGTTTCCATGTATTCCGTGAACCATGGAGGAGGTACCATATCTGAATGACATCGTAAGGAAGTGTTCGGAATTAGAGGAACTTTTATGTCCTCTTCCTCTTCTGTCTGTTCCTCGCTCGATTTGTCACAGTGCTTTACATTTAATTTCTTTTGATTCAGTACTTTTTGGGTTGGACGCTTCCGTTTGTCAGATTCAAGATTCGGTTCAGACATAGAACCGTCACTTTTCTCATTAAAGGACAAGATCGGGTTACCGTTGATATTTGTTGATTCCTTGTTTGAACAATGGATTTCGTTCATTTCGAAACTTTGCTCGTCATTGCGCGATATATCAGTAGATATATTAATAGATCCCACCATCAACGGAATTGCTGCATTTAACATAAAGGCCTTTTTTGCGAGCTAAAAAGATTTGAAATCTTTAGATTTTCATTTAAACATACATTGCAAAATTAAAATTATTGCTAATTCTTAAATGGTAAATGCCTTAATTCTAAGAAACAAACATTTTTATAAATAAAAAGAATCTTTTACTGATTTGATTTATTCATAAGCGGTCCATATATATACATATATATGTTATATATATTTAGGTATGACATTTAATATGCGAATAATTAAATAAATTAATATGTACATATATATTAACTTATTTAATAATTCATTAAATGTTACTTCACATTCAATAAATTTAATTCGGTTACAATTTGATACACACAATATTTTTGTTTCATAATAAATAGAAAAATATTAAAATTTCTTTCATTATGTTTCTATCCATATTCAATCATTATCTTGTAGATATATCGCTAATCTATCTGATATAAAATAGAATAGAAATTAAACTGTACAGATAAATATTTCTCAACAATCTATACATTAGTTGCTTTCCATTTACACACAAGTGAAACTGAGTCTGAAGTGAGCTGAGTATGAAATACTCAGATTAATGACGTCACTACTTGCTTATTTTGATAAAATTAACAAATAACAACACAGATTTATAACCTCACTTTTAAAGTGAGTCTACGAGACTCAATAAAGCACACGGTCTCGAGCTTGTGCAGATTATAGGTTAAAAACTCAGTTAAATCTCACTTCTCAGAATGCAAAAGGAACGCGCATTCAACTGAATAATGACGTCACAAGTGAGAATTATCTGAGAGTCGGAGTAAAGGAAAGCAACTATTAATTTGTCGAAATTTCATAAAAATTATTGCAAATAGGATTATAATCCTCTTTGATTAGGAAATGAATTTAATAAGAGAAGTGATTTCAATTTAAATTTCGTTCAAGAGAATTCAAAAGAGAAAAATCGAAGTGAAAGTTGCGAATTTAAATATGAATGTATGGAAAGAAGTTTTCTTCAAGTTGGAGAAAACAACGTAAAATAACCAACTTCAGGCGGGCGCGAAATTTAAATCGGATTTAAAGCCTGCGATTAAATTCTCGTCAAAATTTAGAATATTTTATTCTAATTTTCGAACAACTTTTTAAGAATATCGAAGAAGTAGTTTTAAGTCGAATCCTTATATTCAATTATTTTGAAAGGATATAAATACTTTAATGCGCAGCTCGAAATGAAGTACAATTATAATTGTAATATATATAAAAATGTATGCGCGCGCACATACACACAACACACACATATATATATCTCTATATACATACAAACGCGTACCTTCAATGCCTCGTCAAACTCGCATTCCGAATCGATTGGAACTCTGTCCCCGTCGTCGTCGATGTAGAAAATGCGTCTGTCCCTCGGCACTCCAAATTGCTTCCACTACAGACATGAAAGTCAGCGTTATACGTCATTTACGTTAATTACATATACAGGGTGTTCCGAAAAATGTATAATTCAGTAACGGACGACTTGTCGATCGATTGGAATGTATTTTCTAGACCTTGACATGCGACCAAACTTAAACCTTTTAACGTTACTTTAAACAACGTACAAATATTTTGATGCGTGGTGCTTTAAAACCGATGACTAACCCATCCAGTGCTTGTGACACAAAGGAGACTCACCAGTACCGTCCGCATATTCCTCAAGTTAATGTTGTGCGAGCGCGGAATAACGATAGTATTTTGGTTGTCCGGAAAAGGTTGTCCCGAAAGACTGAAGTTCTCCTTCAACACGAAACTGAAGTTCTCCTTCAACACGAAACTGTAGTACTCCTCAGAGTCGCTCGTTGTCGACATGGTTATCGCTGATGTCGACAGCAATAACACACTTTCACGCTATTCCCAATGATTCCTCGGACTTTGGATTTACGCAAGATGGTGCCGCTCGGAATCTGCGTGAATCTGCAGCCTCGGTGTCTAACACCATCTGACACTGTCGCCACGTCCGGACGTCGCAATTAGACGTCAACGTTTCTTCAGGGTTTTTCTTCGACGTTTCGTCGCGACACGACGTACGTATCGGTTTCGTAACGTGGCTTGATACGTAATACGTTACGGAACGGTCTACGGCAACGATAAGCACATAGCTGGTATATGTACAACAAACGGTCCAATGCAGCAGCAGCAGCGTCTGTCCAATGTTGACGAAACACAGCCGAGTCAGCCGAGAACTGCCGAAAGCTGTTTCACGATCATGCGCAAGCGGCGACGAGTGAACGTCGATCCCTTCCTCGTTGCGCTTTCGAATATTCGGGACCAATCCGCGGCTTGTCCGGGGCTCGGATCCGGGACGATCTGGGAATTCTGGGATCGAGCTCGAAAACCGTTTACCTTTGTTTCTCCTTATTTCGCATCTAAAGCTGGTTCGGCATTAGATCAATCGAATCCCGCGAACCGATCGCAAGCCTAGCTGTGTTATGACAGTCAATTTGAAGCGTTAATTAAAAAACGCAAGTTTCAAATTTTGGGGCTAGAACCTGCAGTTTAACGCGCGAGGTATGAAGGTAGACACTTTATAAAATAAACAATTTATTAATAAAATAATAATACATTTATCTATAACTTTGCATCTGCCTTTTTTACGCTAGCTTTTAATCAATAGGAGTGAAAATAATAATGTCGCGTGTAATTCGCGTACAATTTTTAAATATACGGACGTTGCAAGGTAAGATTATAATTTCAATATGCGAATAAGTTTAATTCAATCGACAAATGATTCTCTACTCTCCGGGGTAGATACAACGCGTACACAATCGTGCTACAAATTCACTATACGCCAATAGTCTATTTGTACGCAGATTGTCCTTTTCATAGTGTTCTCTCTGCTTATACGTTTAATGTACTCGTGTAATAATTAATATATGTCGTAGTGTCGGCACAAGACTAGAAACATATAATATTCATGCTTTAACTTATCGTCACACTCATCAGCTAAGGTACATCAATCGCTTTTAATGACGTACTATAGATATAGCGTCGGGAAAAGGAAGAACTCTTTATACCACTTAGAGATCTTAATATGCCACATGTCTGCATTGTTAGCGTAAACGGCGAATAGGAGAAGGATTTTGTTAACAGCTACAACGCAAAACGAGGAGGGCCGGTACACCACGATACACCTCCCATCAGTTCTCTGCATTTAAATCCTCTCGCGCATTAAATAGACATTTAACATTTCGCTAAAATAAATAGTAGCTCTGCAATTGACTTAGGATTAATAGCGATTAAATTCTCTTTACACAGCTAATAATGACCATTATCGATAGAAAAATAAAATATATTGTCTTTTTAAGCCAACAAATGTTATGCGTGTGCATAGGTATGTCTGTACGTGTACGTGTATTTGCACGTGTTATATGTATATATCTATCGGTAACTGTCAAAACAGAACAGTTTCCTCGCAGCAAACACATTTCCGTAATTATAATTCGTAAAGAAACGCTGCATGTCTAAGAATGGAAAACTTGACAACTTAATTTGTATGTTTGCACGGCTCATGCTATTGACTTTCTTGTATCACATAAAGCAGAAGATAATTTGGGACTGTTACGTTAGATTAGAATAACAAAAACACACAACGGTATACTTTATATACTTTTAAACAAATTTCTCTTCAATTCGGATAAAACTACTCGGTATCACCACTTAGCAATCGTAAAATAATAAAGAACTTTAAATTTCTAATCAACTTTTTTCAGAAGAGAAATTTTTAATAACAAATATTTCGGTAAAACACATCGTTATTTATAAACGAGCTTGCCAGAAGCTCGTTATCTCGTTTAATCTATCTAGAAATAGCACAGCATCAACTTAAACCGTGACATTGTTTGTCACGATCTCATTGCAATTCCAAAAGAAGATATTTGCAGTGATAAGAATACGACGTATAGCATTCTGTTCCCCATACATGTATAACAGGTAAGTTCTGTGGAACACTGTTTAGTGTAGTATTTATGCTTGTTTACCCTAAGACAGATGTATAAGAGTTAAGATTTTGTGAAATATAATCGTGTAATTATACAATAATATTGTATATAACTTTCCATATATATCCGACCAATACTAAACAGATTCGAATAGACCGTCCCAAATTAACAATCGTAGTTCTTTTTTTTTTTTACTTTCAAGGGAGAATAATCTCGGACGATAGACTTTGATATACCACTGCTCATAAGCAGCACGCATATCCGATGAATGTATCGCGCGCGCGATCAAATATATGTCAAATGTTCACCAGATATCCGAGCTGTATGTGCAGCCGGTGTCGAGTCATAGAAAAATAATTGCGATCGTGCGGCAACTGCTCCTACTATGAAAGTACAAACTATAGTATGTCGCGATATTAGAAAACTGGGTGTTCTCGCATAGACGCGGTTTTTTGATCGATAATTCACTCGCCATTGGATTCCGTTACTTCCACTCATAAAATCGCAAAAAAACAAAGACTGCGTTCGACAGAAAAAGCAGCTTGGTGAGCACCTTTTGCAAAGGCATTGAATTACATTTTTATATTTGAGTTAAGGTAGAACCACTTCTCTAGATTTAAAAGTGTAACTCAATTAACACAAAGTGCTTATTAAACTACTTTTTCTGTTGAACGCAGTCAATGTAACATTTCGCAAAACTGACGCCGCTCTAATGTGTGTTATGGAGAAAAAGACGATATAAACTCTATCGTCTTCCTTTATAATACATTTCTTGTAATATAACTAAAAAAACTGGTGTTTTTTAGGGTTGAACTTCTTTGAAGAAGCATTTTTTTCGGCATTTCGTAAGATATCGATTCGATTCACCAATTTGACGATGTGACTGTCACAAAAAAATCGCAGGTACTAAATCCACCCGCATAAAATCGCAAACGCACATTTATCGATTCGTTTGTCGTGCTCCGATTTCATTTACTGTATAAGCGTTTCTGTTCTCTTACTTCCGGAATGGAAAATAACATCGGTCGTTTTGATGTCGAACCGAAGTCTTCTTTCCCGTCTTCTCGTAAAACGCGTCGCTTCTCTCTCTCTCTCTCTCTCTCTCATCGCGCCATATATAAATATTAAAGTTGTATACACTCAATATAATAGATAAACGTTTCGATATGATATATTAACAGTGAGCTAAGCACCGGGAAAGATTTTTTTAGATCGCGCGCGTACGGTTTTTATTTTTTCTACTTTATTGAAACTATATGTGGTCCTCTTCTTTGTTGCTCTGCGTCGCCGGCGTCGCCGGAGTGGGATCATCATGGAACATCGGGTTCTTCACCTCCATCTCGCCCGTCTTTAACAAAGTAATGTAAGTCGCTTTTAAGATAATATTCAAAATTAGGACAGATTTGAGATTCTGAGTTCTGAGACAAAAATTATCGTTCTTTATATGCTAAACTCACAGGTGCAAGTCCTGGGCATTCGTAAACGGTATAGTCACCCTCCTCATTCTCTTCATCGCTTTCCGCTTCCGAAAGAGAACCCGGATCCCTCGTTGCAGAAGTACGACTGCAGCAAATGTTAAACGTTATTTTCAAAATAATATTCTCTCCTATTTCTAAGATTTTTGTGAAATGGATATCGTCGAAAGATATGTTTACTTTTTAGCAACTATATCAAATATCCTAGACCATCTTTAAGAATGACCACATCTAAATTAAACTCACTTTTCCATAGCAATAATTTGTTGTTTCTGATGTTGGAAGTGATACATCTGAGCAGATTGGGCGAGCCTCTGATCACCAGAAGGTGATACATCTTTATTCGGTCCCGTCACACCATAAGCAGGATACTCTATATCCGCTGCAGCTTTTGCACCGCGTTGTAATCTGAAAAATATAATCCCGCGAAAAAATGAAACGCATGATGCTGTAAGATGCAAACTAAGCGACGAATTATTATCGGCATTACCTGCACCACGTTAAACTAATCAATACTAAAGCAAACATCGCAGCTGCACTGCAACCGGCCACAATGGCTGAAAATGTATACGAAATGTTACATTGGATCGCATAAATTGACAAAATCGAATAATTTTACAATTCTTATTTCGTTTTAGCTGCATACCAATAAAATAAATGTCATTGTTGAAGTCCTGATTTATGGGCACGATCACCGGATGAGGTCCCGCAAGTCCATCCGGTTCTGACACGTCGAGTCCTGCGGTTACATCCGTCTTCTGCTCAACATTCTGCATGTTGTCTTCATGTTTTGCCAATGTTCGCTCTTTATTCGCAATTTTTTCCTCTTTCGAATTTATCCTCGACGTGTCTTGCCAATCCAAATCATCTACGAGTTGCGCAAAAAAAAAAGTTTAATGCCATTCATAATTATTAAGAAAAAAAATAAAGACAGCTGACGGTAACTGTATTTGTCAACAGGTCAAAGTGATTTAAAAAGGGAGAGTTTAAAAAAAGAATGGATTAAATATAACGGAGTAATTATCGATGCTTGTACGGTCTGACGTAATTTAATCCTTCCAAGATTCTTAATAATAATGTTAACGTGTAAAGAATAGTATTCTCAAATTTGATTCCGTAAAAAGAAATTATTGTGTAAGACATAAATTAATTATGAATAAAAAATTAATAATAATAAAATAATTTATATTCTAGTAATCTTGAGATTTTTAAGAGAAAAAACTAAGAAAACGTATTTAAAAAATAACATTTTTTAAAGTTGATATTTCTTCTTTGTTAATTGTACATAAAAAAAATTAAATAATTTTTTCATTTTTGCTCAATTATTATGTATATAATACATATATTTTTTTAAATTAAAATATCAAAAAGTTGTCTAATTTTTCGAAGAAATATGGAAATGTTTGTGGGAAAATAGAAATTTCTTAATAAATCTTGCATGATCCTTTTCAGAATTACGTGCATCAACATCAAAAGCATTACTCTGAAGAATTCTAATAAAAGGCAAATCAATCAATCAAAGGAATCAAAGAAATGTTTACCTGATGAAAATGGTTCCTCGCCGTAGTATCTGGGATCATTCGGTTTCACCGCAAATGGATGCTCCTCCTTGCGATTCGAGTCATCGAATTTATACGTGAATTCTGGTTCGGTCGCTTCCGATGCAGCTGCCGTCGCTGGACGTATACGTGCTGTTTCCATTCCGCCTTCGTAATGCAACGTTCCATGATTGAAATCTACGTATTTTTCTCGGAAAGAGTCTAATGTGGACTCTATTGCATCTCTGTTCGCATCGAAAATTTTCCCGTACCGGAGGTCTTTGGAGAAACGGCCATCGTTTTCACTTGACTGTTTCTCTTCGGTGTAAGGCGGACGCTTGAGATCCAGGTTGTAATAAGACAAAAGATACTCCGGTTCCGTGATATGATTCTGACGATAAAGACGCGACAACCATGTCAAGAAATTCTGCTCCTTTCTATCGGATAGAAGTTTTAGAAGAACGTCGCGCTCCTCCTGATGGTCCAACAGATTGTTGTGTTTCTTGTGCATCGATGACAGGTACGTGGGCCGATGAAGACGCTGCTGAAGACGATGCGCTTCCAGATAACGGGCCAGTTTCAGCGCAACATCCTCCGACGTTTCCGGAAGCGCATCTATACGCAACATCAGTTTGAGAAAACAGAGAGTGTATATATTTTCACATTTATCGATTCATACAACCCTCTAATTATCAGCTTTATTCTAATATATTAAGTTTTAATATAAAATAACAATAAACAAAGGGACAAATAAGCTCACGCAAGGTTTTTGCGAATTATTCCGTTAAATCTTGATTTAAATGTGTTACATAAACATTTCGGTCTTCATTAGGCCATCTTCAATATGTTAATCATCTTACAAAAATTTGAAAGAATTATAAGTTATAAATACTTATCGTTCACACACATCCGTTTATATTTTTGGAAGAATTTTTTTGGTTCCAACAACTGTAGGTTGTTGTTTAATAAAAGCCGAAACGTTTATGTGACATATTTAAATAAAGATTTATCGGAATAATTCGCAAAAAAAGACTTTGCGTGGGCTTGAATGCTTCTTTATTTATTGTTGTTTATTAGAAAACTCTATTTTATTATTATCAGGAGACGCGGTAGCGTCTCCGGCCATGTTCAAAAAAACTGTGAACGCTACAAGTCTCTTATCCCGAGCCACCAAAGTCCATTTTTGGGAGGTATTCTAATATTCAAACTCGCCTTCGATATCAGACGAGAGATGAAAAATTTAATATATTAACGTATACTAGCTTTAATTCAGTAAATATTACAAACTAAAACAACGTGAATAGCGACTGTTATAAATTGAAATTATATCCGATTTGAAATTATTATCATCGAGTTTTCCTACCGTTTTCGTTATACATGTAATCGGGTTTCCTGTAGCCAAGATACGCTGGCGTTTTACGATAACACCGCCCAGCATATTCATTCGTATGCTAGTTAAACCTTTTTAAATGTATTTGTGTGTTATACGTATACATAAAATTTAAAACTTATATATAAATCATAATATGTCAATTGGTCATCAGTGAGAGTTGGAGCGAACTGTAATTGCATCACAAACAATCCCGCAATTTATTCTTGACCTTCAAGTCTTAATTACGCTTCGAGGACAGAAAACACTATAAATGATCATCGGATTATCCTTTCATTATTCTCGTTCACGCAATCTATAATAAAGGGATGGAAACTCTCGATATTGTTGTATAATACGAATTATATAATAAGTTTTTTTATACTACATATGTTAAAAAAATTTGAATTATACTGAATCCTTTAAAAGGAATCAGAAAGAGATAAAATTCTAAAATCATTTCATTCTATTCCGAATAATATTTTTCGATAATAAAAAATTATTTTTAATAATAAGAGGGTCACGATGATGGTTTATCATAAAAATTATAATAATTGTTTCTATTTTTTACCGCATTAAAATTCTAAATTAATACTGTAATAGAAACAATTTTTAGATATATATGCTATTTAACAAATTAGATCATCTTAATACCGCTGAAACATTCTTTGCCTCTTAACATATTTTTTTCTTTGCGAATCGATTAAGCAAATATATTTGTGCAAAACACTCAATCGATTATATTTTAACATTTAATGAATCAATCCTTACTAATTAAAAATAAAACGTGACTATTTTCAAAGGGCTACAAGTGGGTCTTCTTCGTGTCATTCCCCCTGAAGACGTTGTCTCCTAAAGGCCGTAGACTCTACCTTACTCACCCCGATAAAAGCTGAGCTCGCAGGTGGACAAGCTCAACAGGAACGGCATCAACGTCAGCCAAGTGCAGCCCCGTTGAGGGAGCATCCTCTCGTCGTCGTCGTCGTCGTCACTGCTGTTGGTCGGCTGCTAAGGGCCTTGCACAGGTCTTATCGTTTCTCTATTCGCGTCTCCATATGCGAGAGAGCACGTCACTTCATTCAGGGCGGACGGCGAGCTTGCGCGATTAGTGCGGCTTCGTTCAATCAATAACGACCAACTTTTACCCTCCCACATCAGCTACGTCTTGTTCCGACGTTGCGCGAGTACTCCGCACCGCGTTCCTCGAGAACGCGTTTTTCCTCCTCTTCCGCCTCCTCCTTCTCCTCCTATTGTCGTGTACCGCGCCGGCGATTAGCATGGGCGCATTAGGTGTCATTAAGCAGCTGCCATGTACCCCCACTACTCTGCACACCCGCATCCGCACATGTGAGGATTTGTTCCGTTTACAAGATTGTTGCGGTTCCGATTCATTTTATTTTGCCCGGACGTTCACCCTTTGGTTCATATCAGTAGAATAGAAATGTTTCTCTGAGTTCATAATATACTTTGGTAATGCAAAGTTTATTAGCTGTATATTTCAATGGTGAATGCTGATGGATTTCTTATGCTCCAGAACTATTGAGAGAAAACGAATATTGTTAAATATTAATAATAACGTCGAGACATTTCAAATTTCCATTTTGGATTTAAATGTTTAAAATAAGAAAATGATACGTGCCTTGAAAATGAATGTCCTTCTTAAAACACAACGTTTAATTTCGTAACAATCATTTATTTAATCGAGATACAGACAATCGAAATGAAAGTACATCAGTTCTTAACGTTTGATACGACCTCATCTTTTTGATTCCTTTGTATTCCTTTGATTTTGCTTTCAAATTATATCAATTCGCTATTTATTTACAGATAATCGTAATCTTTAATCACATCGATGGACTAACACATCTAATTAATAACATGTCACATAATTATGATTCGACATCTTATATACATCCAAAGTATATAAAAATTCTCATACTTTTATATTCTCTGCTTTTGTCAATTTGATTATTCATCATAATTGTAATCGAAGTAACAAGGCGGTACGAAAAATCGATTTAGCTCTAAATTTAACTATGCCAAATCGATGATTATGCTGCCTTAATTATCGTCCAACAGAGACTCATCCGTTACAAGCAATCGGATCGGTTTGCGTTTTTCCTCCATGTTTTGCTTTCGCCTGCGATTTATTACGCCGTCGGAAGCATCCATCATTCGTAATATTTGCGTTTGGTCCGAGCAGTCCACTGGTGCAACTGAAATGTCCCGTACTGCTCTAAACTTGCCACAATTGTTCAGATGCTCGTTTTCTAAACGGAAGAAGTTCCACACGAAACGTCTGTCAAAAAAACAAAAATTACGCGGTGACCCAGTTTCTTTTAATCGCAATGAAAATATATATATATTGCAGATTTTGTAATATATACGTTTACAAAAACTTCATATAAAATTCACTATGAACGTGCAAAATATTGCATAATGAAATAGCGTGCATTCAATAATCAAACAATATTGTACAGTAAAGTATAATAGTATTTTCGAATTTAAACATACGTATTTATAAATAAAACTAAAAAATATATATAAACATAAGTAAAAAATTAAAATAAAGAGACAAATTACAACGTATCAGACATCGTGATCATGGGTCTTCACTAATCCATCATCATTGTCATCTCTGTTATCGTCATTCTCGTTTACACTATCCATCAGATGAATTACGTGATCTTCATCGCGTCTAATGGGTCCTATGGAGATATCTCGTACCGCTCGGAACTTGCCTACGTTGTATAGATGCTCGTTCTCCAGTCGAAAGTAATTCCACAAGAACCTTCTACCGACTTATTAGTAAGGCACATTGATAAGCGATTAGATTGGCCAGTCTATCGTCGATTAAGTCGCTGCTTTCGACTTTCGACAATCAATTACTTCGTTACTATATAATCATTATCATAGAATCACAAGTAATTTTAATCTCGAATAATTGATTCTTAATTATATATCAATATTTTAGGTCAATCTAAATTTAAAAATAATTTTTTTTTAATTTATTAATTTTACTTTTTTTTAAATTTATAAGTTTGAAATACAGTCTAAACAACTCGTTTCTAAGTTCATATATAATATTTTTTTGGGTTTTATTTTTAAAGTATGGAAACATTTAAGAATTATATGTGCATATAGCGTGCGTGCAAAAATGCATAAACTTAAATATTAATACTTTATTAAGCATAACAAAACAACGATAAAAATCGACGACTTGCAATCATTGAACTAGTACAACCATTTTTCGCATCAATTTTAACATATTCTCTACATGCATTTAGTATTAAAATACGAATATAGAATAGAAACATATATTTACCTGAAAACTTCTAACGGGGCAACTATAGAAACCATAAGATCCGCGTGAATATATCCCATTTCTGTTAGAGATAAAGAAAATGCCCATCCAAATCGTAAGATAAAATCTTCGACCATCGCAAAGTAGTAATAATACTGCAAAATGAAAAAAGCTGTGATATCATCAATTAAATAAACAGTTAATATATAAAATATATTAATATGCTATTGATATTAGTATTAATATCTACACGTATAATATAATAGAATTTAATGTGAAGAAAACATACAGGTGACGAATAAACTATCTCTTCTCTGAGAAACTTATTTTCTCCAGCACTGCTATCAAAGAGGCCCCAATCCAATTTTACATCCCATGTATATGTAAAACAGGAACTCACTACACTGACTGTCAGCCATAAGTAAAAGTAGGGATTTTCAGTAGACAGTGCGTAGTATTCTATTTAATGGAACAACCCGTTGAGTTAAGAAATAAACAATACTTAATTCATTGTCTAGGCAAAGTACTCACTCTTGTTTGTCAAATGCAAATAGGCGAAAATAACCACAAAGAAGCTTGTTGCATACTTGACCGCATTTAATAAATGCGGAAAGGTCTCCTTCGTATCTCGATAACGCCTAAGACATTGTGCAAATCGAAACCACGCCGGTAAACATACCACAAACGGTCTCATCGATAGTTCGCGCATTATGCAAGTGTCTGTATCTATTCAAAAAAGAGAAATATGGATGTGTTAGATATCGAATATATCGATTAGAGATATAAATACAATAATAATATAAAGAGAAGAGAAGGGAGTTTATAATATGAAAATGTTACATACAGTAACTATAGTGTGGCAAATAAATAATTCTTTGTATCTAATTAATTACTGACCTGTAACGTCAGTCCAGGAAGAATTTTGAATATAGAAACAGACAAAATATTGAAAGTCTAAAAAGACCGTGTGAAGAGAATTGAGCTGATCAGCGAGCCAAAAATCCGCAAAATTCACATAAAAAAACGGTGCGCAAAATACGCGACCCAGAACACGCAGCGTCCAAAATCTTGCCTCATGTCTTAGAGTCTTGGTGGGATTGAATAAGAATAGTGCCAACAGCGCATAAAATAACATCTATAAAAAATTACATTAATTAATTCTTTCAGAATTGTTTACATTATGAAAAATTGATTATTTGTCATACTTAAGATTTTCATGATACTTTTGAAAAATAAATATCGATAAAGATCGAACTTATATATAGGAACATGCGTGACCTTACTGGTTGAACAAATGGTGGTATACCCAATGTATCACTGTACAGAAAACCCAAAATGGACATGGACCAAACCAGACCGAGTATGGTTGCCATTTCGATGATATGCTGAAATTACAAATATATACATAAATTTCGCGATATCAATAATATATTTTTAATCATAATATATTAATACAAAAGATAATGTGATGTTGATTTGTTGTTTGATTGTGCAACTAATTGATAAATCCTGTTAGTATTTCAAAATTAGTCATATATCTTACTACAATCTAAAATATTGATTTAGTTTGTCATAAAACCTGTTCTGACAAATGGTTGCGTGGATCAAGTTCAAATATCAGCACATGGTTTACGCCAGAAGATCTCCAGCCATAAACATTGATTCCCATCAAAAAGAGGAACTCTATCATAAGAAGTGGCCCACGATAAATTCGACATAATACCGTCCAGTTATCCTTCTTTTTATATCGCATAGCTGAAAAATCGAAGTCAATGTAATGCAAATAAAAGGGAAAAATTTTCATTCTGCTTACCGGATAATATCACAGCTATAAAAAGTATGACAAAAGCACCGGAAAAAAGACCGACTTTAAATGTAATCCAAGGAGAGAGCTGCTCTCCAAGTGGAGGCACTCTAAGTCGTTTCATAGCTCTTTGACGATCGCCATGCTCCAGATCTCGAGTGACTACAGCCTCGGTCTCTACAATCAGTCTATCTATATCCTTGCGTGTATGGAAAATCGCCGTATCAACGTGTTCTGCACGCCATTTGCCACCAAAGTCTACATTCAAAAGCTACAAAAAAATATCCATTGCTTCGTATATATCTTACTTACGTTTCTCGAACATATATAATTTACAGTTTAATTTTTATTCTACATTTAAATTATTTGTATATATAAATTGTATACATAAATTTAAACGTAAAGTTTAATAAATCTACATACTTTGTCATGTTTTTTCAAAATTTTCCTGAATCCAGTGAAATTCAAGTCTTGGTAATTTTGAAGTAGAATAAGAAAAAGGTAAAATTCAGAAAAAGCTAATTTCAACTCTTGAAGTTTGCGTGCCGATACCGGTTTCTTGTGAAGGATGTGACTGCGATAGCGTGCCTTACGACTTTGGGCATCCTCGGAAACTGATAAGATCTCGCTCAGCTCGTTGTTAAGCGTGGCAAATCTACGTGTAGCTTCTGCTAGCTTTTCTGAAAATAGAACATGTTTCTCACTCGTCTTACACTTAGTAACTATATTATGTCAGATAAAAATATTTCAAATGTCAATTGGTCTTACCAGAATAAAAGGTGTTTATTTTTGTCAACTCCTTGTCACAATAATGGAAAAACTTCTCATCAAACTTGCTGTAGAAGCTATCTAAAACGTATGGTTCGCTTACATCTGCGGATGGAGCCTGCTCTACTGCAGCATACAGCAGAGCTTTCATTTCCTGTGAATAATTACATGACATAAAGCATTGTGTAAATTTCGTGTAATTGGTTGAGATAATAAATGTTAAAATACAGAAATAGAGAAAAGCAAAATAAAGAAAGATGTGGCAATGGATTTTTTAAATAATAAAGATAATTAATATTCTCTATAATACATATATAATATACAAAAGATATATGTATAGAAAATGAAATTTCCTTCTGTGATAAAATAAAATGTAAACACTGTATATGAAAATTTTTAATATTGAAAGCACACACCTCGTAGTTGATATACTGTTTTCTCCATTCCGGTGTGATATGAGCACTTAGATGTTCCGCGAATTTCATGGTGAGGAAGAAAAAGTAGAGAAGGAAGAAGAATACGTCGTGTCAGCGGTTACACGACGATTCTATGTAAACAGGATACTTGAACTGACATATACTTATCAAGATCGTATCGAATTATATATTTAAAGCCATAGATTCTCCAGGCAACGCATGTTTCGCATGTATTGTGACTTGTAGGTTATGTCACGTCATAACCTGTGCGCGGTTTCTTTAGAAAATTGACACAATAACCAAGTCTTTTTCGCAGTGTTATTATAAGATATTACAAATTATTTTTATATATACTGTTGTGTTCTGTATTAAAAAATGAAGAAAACTTCTTGTAAAGATTATGACACATAGTAAACAATTTGTGATCCACGTGTATATGTTGCAATAAATTTTTTAATATTTTCTCTTGTTTCTGTACAGGTATTCAAATATTTTGATGAGAAACATGCTGAGGAATGTAAACTGAGTGTTAGATTGTAAATGCAATTTTTTAAATTAAATATGGTAAACTTAATTCTATCAAGAGTGCGTTGCACAAGTTTTATTTCCTTACGATATGTAAGTATGACATGACGTCTATAAATCGAATTTATATATATTTAAAAGAATTGACACACAATAATGAAATCTGTATTTAGTTTTCAGCAAAACCAAAAGTTGTACTTGATGATACAGTATGTACTTTAATCTCTAATAATGAAATAAAATATAGGCATCATCCAGGTATTGTTATTCCTAGAACACCAGTGTTTCCACAGTGGGCATTAAAAGAAATACATAATATTTTGAAAGGTATAGATTGTATACATGTATACACATCTAGTTCTTACGTTTAAAATATTGATAAAATATTTTATCGTTAATTAATTGTTTTGTAATATCATAGTATTTTATTGTTAATTTGTAACACTATATTTCTAGAGAAACAAATAGTCTTGAAAGAACTTAAAGAGAGTACAAAGAAGTTAATACAGCACTTGAATAATCGTCATCCACCATTAGAACAATACGAGTTACCAGAAAAATTACAGAAAGTAGAAGAGCATTTGAATATTAATAACCAAAATGAAAAGATATTAATAGAGGACATAGATTTTCTAAAAGATGCAAAGTCCAGGATGATTTTGAAGCAACATGTTTATAACTGGCAACCAATACAATTTGATAAATTCACTTCCGTGACATACCTGGTCGGTAGAAGTGTTCAGAATTATGCGGTTTTGCGTAAAATTTTTGATGAAATTAAATTACGCGACAAGAATTTTAAGCCTCAAACATTGTTCGACTTTGGCTCTGGTGTTGGCACAGTCATGTGGTAAATATAAAAGTAAACTATATTGGATGATTTTAAAAACCTAGAATATATAGTACGAAATTGATTAATATAACATTAAAGAATTTTTTTTTTTTTTAATTCTATAGGGCAGCATCTGAGATCTGGTCGAAAACGTTAAAAGAATATTTTTGCATTGAAATATCGGAATCCATGATTGAATTGTCGGAAAGATTAGTGAAAGCTACCAATCCAAAAATCAAAGAAGTTTTCTATCGTCAATATTTTCCTATCTCGATGAATGTAAGAATGTAATATAAAATGGTATACATATTAAAGTTTTTGCTAAGAAAATGTATAATTTTATATCTCTATTATTTTTAGCGAACATACGATATCGTAGTGAGTGCGTACTCTTTGTTTGAGTTATCGGGTATGGAATCACGTATCGAGACATTATTAAAGCTTTGGTTAAAGACTAACAACTATTTAATTATTGTAGAAGAAGGAACTAATGCAGGTTTCAAAGTAGGCATATTCAATTGTTATAATTTAACTATATATATTTTTTTTTTTAAATTCTCATTCTTGTTTCTCTTTTTTTGAAAGCTAGTAAATGAAGCGCGAGATTTCATCCTCAAATACACAAATTCGAAACGCAGACATGACATACAATTTGCTCATGTTTTTTCACCTGTAAGTATCTGTTAGATAAGAAATCCGAACGTAATGTATTAATTGTATCTCTTATATTATTGCAATTTAGTGTCCACATGATTTGAAGTGTCCAAGATTTGCCAACGACAATACTCCATGCAATTCAAGCGTTCTGTATCACCCATTGCAATTTATGGGCGGTCGGCAACATAAATCAGAACGGTATTCTTATGTTGTCTTAAAGAAAAGTAAGTAAGAATGAAAAATAAAAGAGTAACATAAACAAAATTGAAACAATTTAAATCATGTCTTAGAAATTATACATTAAAGGCATTTTACCTGGCATCTTTAAAACATTGTAATTTTTATTTTTGTTTTTTAATTTACTGACAGATTCTACAAATATATACAAATATGAGACACATGTTTCGCGAAAAAAAATTTGAGATTTTTTTTGTGAAGTTATTCACACTTATAAGTTGTAGAAATTCATAAATAACGTCGCTCATACAAACATTCAAATTATTATATCATTGAACCATTAGTCGTACAAAAAAATCTCAAATTTTTTTCGCGGAACATGTGTCTTATTTATCTATAGAATATATCAGCAAATTAACAAAAAAAATAAAAATTACGATATTTCAAAGGTGCCCGGTTTGACGTGGAATACCTCATTGGCAGTGAAAATTTATCGAGACGTTGCGTATATCCTTTTCAATACAAAAATACAAGATACATTTCTTTTCATAGGCAAACGTCCTGAGAATGATGAGCAATGGCCAAGGATCGTGCGAACTGTACTAAAACGTTCTAATCACACGATCTGTCGCATGTGCACCAACAGTGGAGAGCTGAAAGAGGAGATATTTACAAAATACAAAAATGGAAAGTATGTATCTATTAAATTGTGTTTGAGTGTACAATTATATGAAATCTCTTTATTACCAGGCATATGTACCGTTGTGCGAGAGAGAGTGAATGGGGCGACAGATTACCTATTCATTATGAACAACAGCAAGAAAATGTAGAAGAAACTGAAACAGTTAGTGAAACGGCTACTGAAAATGAGAATACGTTGAATGAAGAAATAAAGTTTCATTAAACGTTTTTAATTTGTTTTTTTTTTATCATATGCATGCATGCATTCCTTCAAATTTTATTAAATAATTATAAAAATCTAATATATAAAGAGAGCGATAAAGATTTCGATTTATTTAGGAAAATTGTTAAATAGTAATCTATATATTTTTATAATAAAGGAACAATTCTAATATATAGAATTCTTTTTTTTCTTTTTGTATTGAGGCTTCAATTATTTTTAAATAATAATTCGCTATATTAAATTGTATACCGCCAAAATTGTAGCGCATCAGATTTTTATAAAAAAATTTACCACTTTTCTGTTTCGATTAAACATTAATTTAAAACTCGCTGATCATTATATTGATGCTAAAACATCGATTTTGCGAGAAGCATGCGTGATGAAGAGGGGCATTTAAAAGCGGACCGAAGACTGGTCCACGGCCAGTCCCGCTTATACAACGGACGAGAAAATTTCTCCACAAGTGCAAGGTAAGGTAAATTCAAAGTTCGCAAAAGGAAGAGCCGATCCTCCAGTAATTCTCTTCAAAGTTTTTCTCTTACGGTGCACTTAGCAGAATGATTTTTAAGTAATATAATTTTATTTATTTGTCCGATGTATAAAATATTTATTTATTTATATAACGATTTTTGTAATCAATAAAATTTATTATTGTGTGAAAAGAATAAGTGTTATAAAGATGAGAGATCTCTCGTCAAATTTCGCTATGATATTTCGAATACTGGTAAAAAACAATTCAAAAAATAAGGAGCAAAGAGCCGATAATATAATAAAATTAAACCTTTAATTTAAATATAATGTAGCTACAATTCAACATCAACAAACATTTCGACTCCGATCGAGTCATTTTGAACATGACCTGATCGGATTCGAAACGTTTGTTGATGTTGAATTGTAGCTACATTATATTTAAATTAAAGGTTTAGTTTTGTTATATTATCAGCTCTTTGCCCCTTATTATTTGAATTTTATTTTATACTTATGGAGCTTTATATTAACTATTACTAGTAAACAATTTTTAAGTTTTAATTTAATTAGAGATTTAATTTAATTTTTAATTTAATTAATTTTTAGAAAAACCGATATTAAAAAATATTTTACGTTTTTCTTTTTAAACTTTATCTGATATATGTAATATTGTAAGAGTAAAGCAAAATATGTGCGTACTATATCTTAATTTGTGAAAAAAAATACAATTTAAAGGATTACAACTTTTTTAAACATAATTTTCAAATAAAATATATAAATTGAACACTGTGTGTGTGTGTGTGCAAGTATTTATAATAATTCAAATCAGTGCGTTTTATATTATATCTCAATTAATCTTAGAAACAATTAACAGTTTGAAAAAAGAGATCGCAACTTAGATATAATTTGCAAATAATATAGGTATATAAATGTATATAAAAATTATAAATGTAAGATATGTAAATTGAAATATACACAAGTGTTTGTAATAATTCGAATCAATGCATCGTGCACGTTGTAATACTCCGAATGCATCAAGAGATGCCAGCTTGAATTCTAAAGTGGATGAAGTTGAAATAAAATAAGAATTCGAAAGTGACGATGAGTACCTTGCAATAAAAGTGCTAAAATATGCATCGATTACGCAACAACTTATGGAATAATAAGGGTGACGGCGCATTTGCGCAAGTAATGTGCCGATTCTTCCGTATGCAACTTTCTCTTACGAGAGTACAAGTGTTTCACTTTTCTCTCCGAAACTCGTTTATTATCTTGTATTTGTGCGTGCATTTGTATCAATGTGAGTGCATATCCGATCGGGAATACAAAATACCGATATAAATACCGATTGCACGAACTTAATGTCTAGTAAAAGTAGGCGACTCGAAAAAAAATGGGAGAAAACATATTTCCTGAAATTTATAAAAGCAGATCTGTTCCACAATTATTGGATATATTTTGCTTCTTTTTGTGTTATTTTTATCTCCATTTTTTTAAAAAGTTAACATCGCTAAATAAAAAACGTATTTATTAATTTTACGTAAATTCTGTGTATCTTTAATTATATATATAAAATTTAAAAAAGAAATATAAAGAATATTTTGCGTATGATTGTCCTTTTAATATTTATTATATTATTGATCGTATTATGTTACGAATATTTCATGAATATATGTTACAGATTAGATTTATAAAATGCTCGTCACAGCGATGTTACTGGTGATACTCATACTGTTATTGCTATATTTAAACTGTCAAAAACCGAAAGGATACCCACCAGGTAAAAATCGAGTCTTGTTAAAAAAAAAATCCTTCTTTTCTTCTTGTTTTATTTTATAATTAATATTTTTTATTATCTTCAGGTCCAAGATGGTGGCCCATTCTGGGCTGTGCGTTGGAAATAGCACGTATCCGTCAAGAGACCGGATATCTCTTCAAGACTTGTTCGACGCTTTGCAAAAAATACGGTCCTGTGGTGGGCCTGAAGATCGGCCAGGACCGCATCGTCATTGTGAATGATATAGAGAGCATACGAGCAATGTTGACCAACAAGGATTGTGACGGCAGACCAAACGGACCATTTTTTAAAGCCAGGACTTGGGGTGTCACGCTGGGTAACTATCTGTTTAGAAAATAAATAAAATATATGTTGAATTTGAAAGATAATTATATGATAAAACTTGTGATCAGGTCTCCTCGTAGTAGATGACAAACTATGGGTGGAACAACGGCGTTTCGTCATACGACATTTAAGAGACTTTGGTTTTGGTCGTACCAGCATGGTCACAATAATCGAGGATGAGGCGTTAAAGCTGGTAGAACATTTCAAAAAAATGCTTAAAAACAATTATGAAACTGCTGATGCACGAAAAATTAAAACGATAAATAATAACAATATTGGTCAGATATATAAGCTGCAGAAAGATCCGAAAAACAAACTGAACGAATCGGAGATATATGATGAATTTCATGTACTCAAAAATAAAATCGCTAATCGTAAACTTCGTACAGTGGCGGACTTGTACATGAAGGCTGAAGATTACGAGGAAGTCAGAAAAGTCTCCCAAACTACAGGAATGATCATATCGATGCATGACGCCTTTGGTGTGACTGTATTAAACACACTTTGGAGGATGATGGCTGGTAGAAGGTTCGTAATCAATCACACGGATTATTTTTATCCTTCCGCTATAAAATCTAAAAAACATAAAGAATTTATTGTTAACGTCGATAATTTCTATTTTTTACAGGTACGATCCTGGTGACAAGGAACTTACGCATTTACAACAAATCCTTACAAAGCTCTTGAATGAAATCGACATGATCGGCGCGCCTTTCAGTCAGTTTCCATTATTACGTTTTATCGCTCCGGAAATGTCTGGTTACAAAGCATTTGTAGAAACACATCAAGAACTTTGGGCATTTTTAAAAGTGAGTGGACACGATGTATCATTATCGATGTATCATTAGATCATTTTACAAACAAGTTCGTCTGGATGTTCCAAGATAATTATTAAAAGTTAATAATTCCTATTTTAGGATGAATTGTATAATCATAAAAACACATTTTTATCAAATGCACCGCGAGATTTGATGGATGTCTACCTGAATGTGCTAAATTCGAAAGATTGTAGCGATACATTTTCTGGTACTTAAAAGCATACAATTTATAAATACATTATTACCACTAAATAATAGTTTTATACAATAATATAATTTCAGAGTCCCAGTTATTGGCAATCTGTGTGGATCTCTTCATAGCAGGCTCTGAGACAACTTCGAAAGCACTTGGCTTCGGATTTTTAAATCTAATATTGAACCCGCAGATTCAAAGGAAGGCACACGAAGAGATAGATAGAGTTACTGGCCGTAAAAGATTTCCCACGTTGGATGACAAACCAAAGTAAACAACGTTGTAATCACTCTCGCATATCTATAATTACGGAAGAATTAATCGCTAACAAGAATTATTTTGCATCGAATATTAATTATATTATTTTTTAGAATGCCATATGTTGAAGCCATCGTTCTGGAGTCCATGAGAGTATTCGTTGGCCGCACTTTGAGCGTACCACATAGAGCATTAAAAGATACTTCTATCGTCGGTCATAAGATACCAAAAGTAATATTATCATTTTATAAATTAATAAGATAAATAATATTATAAGTAACATATGTAAAATATGTGCGTATCATCGCTTTCAGGACACAATGCTTGTTGTAAATTTCAATAGAATACTCATGGATGAATCCTGGGACGATCCGGAGGATTTTCGACCGGAGAGATTCCTCGATAATAATGGCAATATTATTACGCCAGAAAAATATTTTCCTTTTGGCATCGGTATGTTTCCTTCTCCTTTATGTATATACATATATATATTATTATAAAACTCTCTTATAATTATATATCAAATTTAAATACAATCATAAGCTCGATCCCACAAGTGTGAATAATTTACATCTTACAGGCAGACACCGTTGCATGGGAGAAACATTAGCTAGAAGCAACATTTTCATCATAACAGCCACGCTGCTACAGACATTCAACTTCTCAGTGGTACCCGGTGAGCCACGACCAACCACGCAAGACTTTGTGGACGGTGTCACAGCTGGTCCTAAACCGTACAGAGCATTAGTTTCTCTGAGAATGTAAGCTAAACATTTGACTGAAGCATTATTTCCATAATGAATCTTGTCTCAAACTTAATGCCATTTTAAATAATTATTAACGATAAGAGTATTCTTTTTTTAATCTCTCGAGTTAATGAATTTTTGTATACAGACTGTAAGATAAAATACATAGCATTAATTTTGATATATAACGTTTGTCACAAAAATATATTTTTATTATTATTGTTATATATAAGAGTATACAGACAGACATATGTACATACAATATATAAAGAAAACTACGCGAAATAAATAACTGTGTTCGTACATTAGAAGAATATAGTCTTCGTATCACTTTTTGTCCATCAAACAAACATTTGAATCGACATCCTCGCGTCGCATGTTTGACAATAATTATATCAATGCGAATTGCATGGGATCATATTCATCTGAATGTGAACCATAAGTTTTATACGCTAAGAATTCACACACGAGTGAATTAATAGCGAACATTGAGAGCGAATCGAAACACGCGAACAACAGGTACACAAGTGTCAGTTAAATTTTGAACTAAAATACAATCTTACAGAAAGCAAGAAACACTTACGCTATGTAGTTCCAAACTCAACAGTGTGCCATTGTATACACTTGTAAACCGGATATTCGCAAAAGTGTGAATATCAGAAGCAAATCTTACATTACGACCTGATTTTTACGCTTTAACAAACGCCACATGTATTTAAAAAAAAGCCATTAAAATGCTCAGCCGATCTAAAGGTCGGCTTCAATTATATTAACCATATTCATCAAAACATTTATCTCTTTTGTAATGGACGGCATTGAATTAACTGATCCATTTAAATATATAACATGACAGTAAAATAAAAAAATATATAAATTATTAAGAAACATTTATAAAAATATCAGTCGCTTACGCTAACCGTGTAGGTGGTACCAAAGGAGCACTCAAGAATCTTCATCTTTTAATCAACTAGGCTGATCTTCTACTATGTGAATCTAAGAAATTATATTTTTAGAACATAGGAGAAATTTAATATTATAATCTTAAATCTATTATCAGGAATCTTTTTTACCTCGGATAAAATGGCCCAGTTTTCACTTTCACTGTGTATGGTTAAACGAAGTACCGAAACTTTACCCAATCTTCGATCCACGATCCCTTGGGCAACACCAAGTACATCAAACTTACCTATTTCGTACAATATACTCTTTTTAACAATCTTTCGAATTATTAAATTATAAAATATATGTAGTATCGTTTTTATTACCTATAATAACATAACCGTCCTCCGTCACATCGTTGCTATTTCTATCTAATAACGGAGACATCTCGGTTAATACTTCCACGGTTGTATTGTAAAATCGATCAGAAGGATGTTCAGGATTTCCGCTTCTGAATAAGTACCTGCACACAAAATAATAAAATGATTATGATTTTCCAAAATAAAATGTCCAATCATACTACTTGCAACTTACTTCTTTATAAAAATAGGATGCGAAAATTTAAACTTTAAATGATCTCCCGGCTGAGGTAACAAACCCCAAAAGAATGACTCGCCCTTGTATGCTTTTTGCAATGTATACTGTTTATAAGGCTTGATTTGAGTCTCTACAATTGCCTCAGGATTCTCGTGAGCGTAAAATAGTGTTATTTTGCCAAATTGTTTGTCCTGTAAACATAATTTAGACATTAGTTACATTATCATAATTGTACTTTTTTTTTTATAAGAATAAATACACCTGATATTACTTTGAGTTTTTGCACTTTTCCTTTTAAGGAAGAATGCGTCCCTATGTGTTGAAAGAGAGAAGGTTTGTAATGTACCCATAATTCTGCTTTAGCCATTTTGCAATGTTTCTGCCGTAATAAAAATTTTTCTTTAGAAGATCAATATTTTTTATTAAATGTGTGTAATTATTGTTATTATTTATATAATAATAATAAAGACACTAACGTGGTCCATATCAAGACTGCAGACTTTTGTCGATATCAAATGATCCAATAACCAATCAACAGGCTTATCATTGTAGAACATCAAAAAAAATTGAATTAGCCATGGAAGTTCCACACATTTGAACAATTTTCCTACAATATCAAACAGGATTAATATGTTTCTTTAATATATGTACGCATTATCGCTGTGCAATTTATACCAATGCCATACCGATAAAACCGAGCTGACAGAAATCGAGGACAAACCAGTTTTCCTTTGTACCTATCTTCTGTAACGCAAAAGATTTCATAGTAGTTATGAAGTTCTTCTTAGCTAAAATATCATCTTCTAATTGTACATAAAACGTGCCCTTAGTCTGAGCATAGGACATGAGGAAAGCAAAATCTAGATTTTGCTTGGACCGCCAAATAACACGTTGATGATCGTCACCGAGAGTGTCGCGTAATTTTGATAAGTTAGGATAATAGGATAATGATGGTGATATCACATCGATCACGCCAGCTTCACATTCGTTTGGAAATCTAAAATAGAAAGAGTTCTATTATAAAAGAAATCTGTATTGACATAAAACTGAATAAGATAAATACGAATTTATGAACTCACTGAACTTCAATTTGCTTTGCAACATATGTTATATAATCAATGTCTGTCTGCAAAAAAAATATATACATATATATATACTATAAATATGGCATGTTGCAAAATAAAAAATAAATAATTAAGTTCAAATGTTGTTTGCTATTTTTTCAATTCAAGTAGTAATTTTTTAAATATAAGGATAGTTTTCAACAATTACAGAATGGATGCTCATCAGTCATGGTAATTAATAATAATTCAAAAATAGGCAAAGTTAAAACCTTGATATCTCAAAATATTGCTCGAAATAACAAATAAAATTTTAACTTCTTTTAGTACATTTTTGCTATGGTATTTTTATTTGCAAATTTTGGGTTATTCTATACAACTTTATTAATATATCAGTTCAAAGTCTCAAATGAAAAAACGCGAATGAAAAAACGCTTTTTTGTAATTAATGATTCCACTTACTTCAGCCACTAAAACGATGATGAGAGTGTCAGCAATCTCTACAGTGTTCATACGATCCAGTAGATTTTTCAAAGTTGCCATAAGATAGGACTGAACCTCGCGTTTTACCGTCGGTACTCCCAACACCATGCTGACCCCTGATCTACCTTTGCTCTGCACAAACGCAGGACGCAGGCTATTCGGATCATTTAGAAAATGTGGTAGAAAATTGTAGATCGAAGGCAGTTTGATATTGGTAATGTTGGAGGTGCCATTGCTGATGAGCAACTGCAGATCTGGTAGAATGTGATTGCTCTCGATCAGCTGTAGCAACTGATGCGACAGCAAATTTATTTCTTCCTGACTGCTAATGTATTTGGCATGCAAATGCTCCAATTTGGCCTGCAAATCAGCGATGCTGTTCTGTAATACGGCTTCCTCACGCATGTCTGATGGTGTCAGCAGATTCAAAATTGCACATGGAACCAAAACTAACACCAGCACGATTACACATCGCTTTCGCACTGGAGTTAGCGTTGTAAAATGCGGTGTCATCTTCTCCTTTTCTGCTTCTACATTCTACATGATGGCATCCATTGATGGAAAGTAAAAATGAGTATTATCTAGAAGCAACAATTGCGATATAAGTTATAACTTTTCACATAAAAATTCAATAATTACCTTAACTTATTTCAAAAATATAGAAGATTCTTTCAATTTTGCAATTATTTCCTGATTATCAAAATGAATATATGTTTATATATACATATATTTGAATATGAATTAATTTAGTTTTAATTAAAACAATTAGTCACAAACGTTCTGCTACTTTAATGACTAAAACTGCAGCTCTAATATCTTTTTTGACTCAATCTCGAAAGTAATTTTGCTATACAGACAATGGTAAGTAACAATCAAATTTGGTAATACAGTATTGCCTACATAATCAGAAAATAATTGTTAACAGGGATCACAAAAGTAGGTTCAGTTCTATCAAAAATTATTAAAAATAGTTATACTCTTCAGATGTATACCATAGCTCTAACGTAACTGTCATTAGTGACACAAAGTAATTAAAAAACAATATAAGTAAGTGGCTCACAAAGTAATTATTTTAAAGTAACATACATATATAATTATTTATATATATATTACTTTAAAATAATTATGGCCACAGCACACACTTTTGCATATGCATAAACCATATACATAAAGAATTTGATTGGTCCATTGACTCATGCATAAGAAAATGGGCCAATGAAATTCCTTATGCACATGCTTTATGTGTTATGCAAAAATGTGTGCTGCGGCCTTTACTTTGTGAGCCACTTACTTATATTGTTTCTTAATTACTTTGTATAGTATAATTATTTTAAAAATAATACACTAGGAAGATACTACTACTGTCGATAAAATTACTCGTAAACATTAACGTACATAATTTTGACATTTAGCCTTCTTCGAGATCGCAGTCGACGAATGCTTGTCGCGACGACATTGCCTTGTCGTCACCCTGGAACTTTGTCCTGTTCGTCTCAATTAAGGATCTTATAGCAGCACACTTTATACGTGACATACAATGGCTCTGATAACGCACGTTCTCAGGCTCCCTCACGGAAAAGAAGCAATGCCTGTCGCACACGTACCTCCAACTCCAACATAACCCGTTCGGACTTCGGCTTGTCGAGCCTACTGTATATTGCTGTATATAGGAATATACTAGGTGCTCGGGGCATTAAAGAGCCAATATTATCAAAAGACAAAAAACATCAATCCTGATTACGGGTGTTATAGCATTTTTTTTTTCTTTTAAAGGTGAATTGAAAAATCCAAGAATCTAAAATAAGACAAGAAATTTGAAAAAATTCAGAGGAACTAACAATTATGAGTTCTTTTTTTTCGAAAAAAGCTTAAATATAATTCTAAAAAACAATATATAATTGATTAATTTTTAATACATTTATATATTCGGAAATTATACGCTGATTAAAAACAATATCGCGTATATATAATAGAGTATACATTCTCTTTATTCATTTTAAGACATATAAATATTTGAAAACGATAATTTAACGAAAATAGAATGGAATTACTAACTCGAGCCATACATTCATGTCCTGTACATAAAAATGTATTTTTTATGAATATATATGGATGTATTTATTATACCTTTCTTTTTTCTCCGTCTAAAACCGGCGCTTGACTAAAATGCGTACACAGTACACACACAAACCAGCTACGCATGGGGGAGGTCATCATACGTAAACAAAGCATAAGCAACGAGACAAACGAATTGACCAATCATAGTCGAGAATCTCAAGAATCCTCGAATAGAATATTCAAGAGATTAGAAACTGTCCGCCATATTCAGAATTACTATAGTGCGCACTTTTCAAAAACATTTTAATCACTTTATAATCTATATAATTTATCAATAAAAAATTAATTTAATTAACAGTTATATAAATTAATCCTTTTTTTCGGTCTTCTTCATTATAGAATATAGACTTAACAAATTAATTACAAATTATATATATTTTATTAAAATTTTATTAAGATTCTCAAGATTCATAGATTAAAGTGTATTATAGTCAGACAAAAATTAAGATTGTAAAGTAATGGTAAAAAATGAAATTAAGTGTCTATTGCAGAAATAAAATTAATTCATTGCATAAATTCGATGTTATAGAGACAGAAAATTAAATATAATAGCAGCTATAGGAGCTAATATGGTCAACAGTAATAATGATAGAAAAGCACAATTAATGTTTTACTTGTTGTTAGATGAAAATTATTATTACAATTATGATTTATATATAAAATATTACGTGTAAAAAAAGTAAATTGAAATGTAATAATCTCGTGAGAGTCGATTTAGTACGGTCATGTTTATATTTACCTTAGCTACAAAAGAAGGAAGAGCTACTATATTTTAATTAAACTTTAAATAAGCTGTTGATATTCCTGAATATGGTCAAGGAACTACGTGTAATTTTGTAAATTTAAACCATATTTATGTTTGTATACATTTATTATTTTGATACCAAACTTTTGTTTGTAATAATTATACTGCCTCGTTTTAAATTTTAATAATTGTAATTATAATATTTTATTTCATCAGTTTATAGTAAATGATACAGAAATTCATTACTTGAATATAATATAAATTATTATACACTATTAATAATAATTTAACTTTTTCCTTGTAATTATTCGATTTTTGTCTTCGAATGATTGCCATTCTGCCATTCGAAACTCTTGACTGCGATTGGTCGAGCGCATCGTGTTTAAGGCTCTCGATAATTTGCGTAGTTCATGCTCGAACGACAGTGATGCCAAATTATTTATAATACTTCATGATGACATTTCGTGTGCATTCGTGTATGACAGATTATTAAATTTCTTGCAACACAGTCCCTTTAATGATCTCATTGTATCAAGTTTCTATCGAGACGGTCGATGATAACACAAACACAAGCGTGTTCGCCAATAATTGCTTTCTTTACATTACTCCAACGGGTGAAAAATCATCCTGATACGTGATTAGGGCACGTCTGATAGGGAGATAGCAGATCCTGTCGCTATCTCGGGTTTTAGCTACGCTAAATGGTGAAAATGACACCGTTTGATGAGGGGAGGATTAGACAGGGAATATCTAAGGTATAAATAATTTTATCATTACATTAATAACGTGTTATAATGATTATTACATCAATTTTATAATATAAAAACATAATATTGTTTTTCAGTATCAAAATCCAGATATAACAAAGGCGCATGTAATAAGTGTCTTGAATACTTATCAAGGCTTGGTGTATAAAATCGAACCTTTTGGTAAGTAAAATTATTTGCAATAATAATGACCTTAACCCTTAAATTCCACCCTCCGACCAACTGTACCTTCCACACTGGTACGAATTTGTGCTTTATGTCTTTAAATATAAGTCAAAATATATGTTTTCTGTAGAAAAGTATTTTTGCTGGTGCGAATTTGTATCAGTGTGGAATTTAAAAGTTAAATATGATTGCTTCTTGATATTCCTAATTTTATTAAACTTATTTGCCATTCAATACTAGTTTTCAATGATGGCTCACGTAAGGAACTACTCAACTTACAAGGAACTATACCAGTTGTTTTTAAAGGTAATTTTTAAGAATAATTTTTAGATATAAATTTTGATTGCATGATAAAGTTATTAAATATTGTTTCTTCCTTGTTTCTCTTTTCTAAAGGCTCTTATTATAATATTCCAATCTGCATATGGTTGATGGATACTCATCCCAATAATGCACCCATGTGCTACGTTAAACCAACAGCAGATATGCATATTAAAGTCAGTATGTTTGTGGATCACAACGGTAAAATCTATTTGCCATATCTTCATGACTGGGTGCCTGTAAGTAAACTATTGATTATTAAATGAACAATTATTTAATTGATTTATTTATGTTTTCTTTTATGTTACAGCATAATTCAGATTTGCTTGCTTTAATTCAAGTTATGATTGTTACCTTTGGGGAACAGCCTCCAGTTTATACAAAGACTAGATCAGAAATGCAACAGAGTTCGACGCCATATCCTGTTCAATGTAAGTACATTTACTGAGTTTCGAAATAAGAATTAAAAAACAATTTCTATTACTGTTTCATTTTAATACCTCATATAAACTTGTCATGCAGCATTCATGCCTATACCTGGTGGTGGAAACGTATCAAGTTCTGGCTTTCCTCCATATCCACCAACTTCTCAATACTCCAGTGGTAATAATGTGTATCCACCGTATCCCCAAACAGCGTCTGGAGGATTTCCGTATCCAAGCTCATATGGTTCCTATGCAGGAACCACGCCCAGTTATCCATCACAAGGTTACAGTGGTTCATATCCACCATATCCACCAGTCACGCAGCCGGTATACAAATATTGTTATTTATTTTTAGCTTGAGTAGCATTTACAATAAATATTTACATTTTAGTATTAATTAATATGTGTATTAAATAAGTATTTGTAATTACTTGCAAGTCGCCGACAGTACAACCAAATTCCAGTGGATCTGGCACGATCACAGAAGAGCATATAAGAGCATCCTTGCTGTCCGCGGTAGAGGATAAACTTCGACGTCGACTCAAAGAACAGTTCTCACAGTTACAGGCCGAGCTTGAGACGCTGCGACGAACGCAGCAAGAGCTAACGAGCGGCTCGTCGCACTTAACAAATCTTTTCGACAAACTCAAAATAGAGAAACAGGAGCTCGAAAAAAATGTGAATATCTTGCAAGATAAAGAAGCAGAATTAGAAAAAGAGATCGCCAAATTATCGGATAATCAGTCGATAGATGTTGATGAAGCTGTTACTGCTATAGCGCCTTTGTATAAACAGTAAGCATATATATATATATATATATTTATATTTTACAGCTAAATAACTTTATTCAGTATGAATTGATGTTGTAATAAATAAGTTGATTAATATTATTTAATTTCCAGAATGCTGAATGCTTTTGCCGAAGAGGCAGCCACGGAAGATGCTATTTATTATCTTGCTGAAGGACTGCGGTCTGGCATCTTAGATTTAGATGCATTCTTGAAACAAGTTCGGCAACTATCACGTAGGCAATTTATGTTGAGAGCACTAATGCAGAGATGTCGACAAAAAGCCGGCTTAGTCGGTTAAAAAAATATTCCTCATGCACTTCATTCTAGAGAGCTGCAATATTCCATTATGTTCTAAAATATGTCATTGTGCTTAAAGACACATCAGAATGGACTACGAGATCTGTGTATCAATAAAAGAGAGAAACTGGAAGACGGCCAATTTCTATCTTTCCATTCAACATTGTAATTGGAGGAAGAATTAAAGGAAGATTGGCCATTTTCCATGATCTCTCTCTCTCTCTCTCTCTCTCTCTCTCTCTCTCTCTCTCATTATCATCTCGTCTTATTTGCTCGAGTACTACTTAGATATAGATTGCACAGTCCATTTTTTATGTCTTTGATTGCGCTATATAGTAAAAATAGAATACGTATAATTTATATTAGTATCAAAAAGCACAGAGGATTATTTTATCGACAATAAACGCCATATTCTTCTTCATATAATGTAATGAAAGGAAAATTGTTTTATAAGAACATTTAATAGAATGTATATGTTTAATGAAGATAAGATAGTAATTATAGCACGTTCAAATATGGAAGTAGATAATGTAATTTTTTTGCACAGACCTATATGTTATACTACACATATAATATTGCATGATGAGATTAATAACGCTATAGTTTATGTTCATAGAAAACAATTGCTTTATTTTCTCGAGGTGCCACAAAACTCATTGTGTATGTGCCTGTATTACATGCCTTCATTGTGATAAAGATTGAATAAACTTATGCACAATATAAGATATTCAGAATTGTGTTCAATTGTCTACAGCAATGATAATTACAAAAAATTTTTCTAATCTTAATTACAATATTATGTACCATCTATATTAGAATAACAAATTAAACCAACTTAAACCATATTTTTAGAACTTTAAACCATATTTCACATTTCATATATATATATATATTTTTTTTTACAAATATATGAATATTTGCTCGGTAGAAATTTTAACTCCTTATCGACATTATTTATACATAAATTCCAACCCAAAGCAATAGAAATAGTACTCCAAAGCTAGAGAATAACGCTGCGACCAATGAAATTAGTGCTTCCTTGAATATATCTCGTGTGAATTTCGTGCTGGTAACCTCATACACGAAGAACCAGGCCGTGAAAAATATTCCAATTCCTAATAGCACCACAGCCAACAGAGGAAAAACAGCTGGGTTCACCGGCGAGACATATCTCATCATTGACTCGATTTCCACCTGAGAAAAAATCATTAAATAAAATTAAATCAGAAACAGAAGAGCTGATTGGCACACAGATATTTATATCTATACTCTGTTCAGATTTATATTTTTTCTTGTATTTCTTGACGTAAATACGATTAAGGTTAGATGTGATTTGAATTAACCTACACTATAACTCTACGAGAGTTAAAAAAAGAAATTTCGATCGTTCATGTAAAGAATAACAATTGTCACTTGCCATTTTTTGAAACTGATGCGTGTCCACGTAGCTCGAAAGAAAATACTCTGGTCAAAGTGCCAAACACTTCGAAACCTCAACGACAATCAAATCAAACGCACATATACTCATATGCATATACTGTGCATAGGCTGATATCGTGGCTGATCGTGGCATCAGCCGGTATTAGGTTAGGTTAAGCATAGCGCGTAAAATTACCGAGGTGGTTAGCGGAATAAAAATATTTGTCCTCTACTGTGACGTCATCTTGCATCAATCATACAGTAAATATTAGCATTTTCGCAAATATTTCGTTTTGACTGTCTCAGTCGATAAAACGGCCATACAATCATTACAATTACCTTCAATGCGCTACATTGTTTTTCGTAAAAATACAAAATATGTGGATACTTTCTTCATCCTGAATATAGAAAGTATGAAAAAAAAAAAGTATTATTTAAATCGTTCAGATAGTTCGTTTTGCGTCCTCCTTTTGCACGTATACTTTCTATTTTAAACGCCGCAAGTGCAGCAGAGTGCAGTTAACGGTTTCGGACTTTTGGAGAAGAAAGGACGAACTCTGGATGAAGAAAGGAAGGAGTCTCCGCGCTTCTCGTACGTCGTGTTCCGCGCTCGAGCGCCTGTTCGCGCTGGAGAGCTGTGGAGAGCGTCCGGTGGTCATCACGTTCAACCACGTCCAACCGCGTTTGATCGTACTTCGTTCTCTCGTTGGTTCTGGCCTGGCATCGTTGTGCATCGTCTTACGGCAGCACTCAGTCCCAAGCAGTCCGCGTTCGACTTGTCTACGTCGCAACTGTCAGGAACGATCGGGGTGGCTGCGAGAGACCGCTGGATCAGTTGCGTGATCGCGTACCGAGTGGTCGCGAGGAAGTGGTGTGTGCGTGACGACAGCGGTTTTCAGACCAGACGGTGCTAAAGAGAATCAACAGGAATCCGATATACGCGTGCATGCGATGTTAGTCGCTCGTCGGCCGAACGAATTTACGCGACGTGTTGCACCATTTTCCTTTCCCCGTGCGTGCGTCCCCACGCCACGCCGATGTGAGTCTGACGATCGTCCCGGGCTACGATAAATCACGACACATTTAGATATTAAGCCGCAGAGGTAGCGCATACCTACGGTCAGCATCATGTTCTGGACGAATAATTATGTGTCATCGCCGCATATCGAGGCATTGCTCAACAAAGAGGTAAGTGACTCTCTCCTTGTTATACTTCCCCCACGAGGGAGCCTTTCTTTTTCCTCCCTCCCTTTGGAGCCTCGTTAGACAGTATCTAATCGGTTACTCGATTGCAGGATGTCACACTTCACGAACTGATGGATGAAGAGGACATCCTCCAAGAATGCAAGAGCCAAAATAAAAAACTGGTTGAATAGTAAGTAAAATTATTGCTGTTTCTTTAGATCTGATTTTGCATCGAGCTTTTATTCCATACAGTATCTTTTTAAAAAATCAAAATTATTGCAATGTGTAATTAATAGTCTTACGAGGCCTGCCGTTATGGAAGAATTAGTTACGTTAACCACTAAAGAACCATCCACCGACATCGAAGAACGTTGGCGTTACAAGTATCCCAATGTTGCCTGCGAGTTGCTTACATGTGATGTGCCTACATTGAATGAGAAACTGGCAGGTATATTCTGAGCTCTATTATATGTATATCTAATGATTAGAAGAGTATTTATAAAATTAGATAAATTTTATATATTTCTTTATCAAAATTATCTAAATTTAATAAATATGTTTCTTGAATCTTTTTCAGGTGACGAGGCACTTTTGGCCAAATTATATTCTTTCATAGATACAGATCAACCATTAAATCCACTACTTGCGTCATTTTTCAGTAAAACTATCGGAGTACTTGTTGCTCGTAAAAGTGACCAGGTAATTATTTTTTTAACATTTTTTATTTTTACATTGAAAATTGTAATACATATTTTCAGTACAATTTTCATACAATATACAATACAATTTTCAATGTAAAAATAAAAAATGACTTAGGTAGTATATATATTTTAAGTTCAATCAGTTATACTTAATATTAACTTTTTTTTGAGATATTTTATTTGATAACAAATATTAATTAAATAATAAACTTTTTCTTACCTTTCCTTTATTATTCATATGCCTATCCGTCCTATATATTTCCATCTAATCCAGAATTGGTATTCCTATCAGTTCACATGCTTACAGGTTTTAGAATTCCTTAAAAGTCGTCAGAGATGTGTAGATCTGTTGTTGCAACATTTAGAGACTTCGGCTATCATGGACTTAGTACTCAAACTTGTTACTCAGGTTGAGGGCAGTGATATGCGTCAAAACATATTAAATGTAAGATATTTTCTATATTAAAAAAATTTTTGTTTATATATGTGGCTATTGTTACATAATTAAATTATTGCATAATTAAATTTTTTTAACATATGTGTTTATATCTCTTTGATAGTGGCTAGATAGCCAACATTTAGTGCAAAGACTGGTAAAATTGTTAGCACCTACTTCAGAAGTAGCCAAACACGCTAACGCGGCACAATTACTTTGCGATATGGTGACAGTAGCTAGAGAAACTCAACGTACATCCACAGAACGTGCTGATCCAGATCCTATTTTGAATACTTTAGAATCGTAAGTTTATTGTTGCAAATTTAAGATAATTTATTGTTTACACAAAATATTTGCAAATAATATATATTTTGTTACACAGAGGAGAAACTGTGAGTCTATTGCTGGAAACTATTCTAACAGCAGAAAAGGTAGAAAGTAGTATTGTCGGTGGAATACAAGTACTTTTGGTACTTTTAGGTCAAAGGGCCAGCAAGTACGATGTTTTTATATAGTTTATAGTACAAAATTACGTTTTATAAATAAAGCATAATATACAATAGCTTGAATTCTTTGCAGCGCATCAAATGAAGGGGATGTACACGGTAATGGAGAAGACACTACAGATAATGAGCAGTGTATTAAAATTTCGAATGCTATCTTACCATATTTGGAACATCTTCACAAACTTCTTCTAGAGCCGCCATATGTAAGAATGACTTATAAACATTAAAAAATATATATATATATATAAATTTTTTATTTGATATTATTTTAAAAGCGATAACATTTTTATTGTTTAGAAACCTGCCGTTAAAACAACCGTTGGACTATTAGAATGTCCTTTGGGAAACACTCGTTTGCATGTAGCAAAGTTGTTAAGTGCTTTACTAGCGACAGAGAATTTAAAAATCCATGAAAGTTTAGAAAATTTGGGAACATTCCAAACATTGTTGGTAAGATCATATTATATGAGTATAAATATCATTAATAGTTTTTATTATTATTTCGTCATTTTTGTTTACTTATTCTTAATCAAAATGTATTATAGGATCTGTTTTTCAAATATACCTGGAATAATTTCTTACATACGCAAGTACAACAGTGCCTGGCCTTAGCTATTAATTGTGGACAACGGGATAATGATATTATCTATAATAATGTGAGTTATATCTCTTATAATATGGAAATAAATTATGGTATGAAGGAACGTGCTAAATAATTTGAACGTCTTAATTTTCAGATATTTATCAAGTGCAAATTAATAGAGAGAATCTTAGAAGCTTGGGATAAAAACGAGAGTAAACAGTAAGATTACCGAAAGTATTAAATTTAGCGGAATATTTCGCATATATTGCAATAAAGAATTCAGGATTATAACTTCGAAATTTGATTGCAGAAACAAGGAAAATGGTGTTCGTCAAGGTTACATGGGACATTTAATTAATATCGCAAACAATATCGTCACCCAATGTGAAAAAAATAATATACTGACCAGCTTCTTAAAGAACAATGTAACACCCGAGTGTCTTACTAGATGGGAAAACCTTGTGAGTGTACAGTTGGTGGAAATTAATAAAGTTCATCAAACTGTAATGATGGTATGTAATAATGAGATTGTATATTGTTTTTTTTTTCTCGTAAGTACATTGCCTTTATGGATTTAGAAATAACGTGTAATTGTAATATCACTCGTTTATATATAATATTGATTTATGACAAAAAAATTTTAATTTTTTTCTTTTATTGTATTATGTCATAATATGACTACAATGAGAGAATAGCCTTTAATTATAATGGGATTTTTAGGGTGATCAAACTCCCGACGTGTACCTGATGAGCTCCGAGGAAAATCCTAATGAATACAACTCTTACTCGCAAGAGACATACATTCAACAGGTCAGCGATTACGTTCATATATTATTGATACGTAAATACAGATTATTTAGTTCTTTATTTATACGTACGGATTCTTGTGATTATTAGATGTACTCCAATTATCAGGGTCAACAAATAACACCTCCATTCATCGAGAATTTTGGATTCCATGACGATGAGTTTAACGATGGTGATGACGCACTTCAGTAAGTATACATGCAAGATTTTATTAAAAAATATAGCACTACTAGGTCCGCGATTATAGAACTTACAAGAAGCAAGAAAAAACGCGTATGAGAAGAACGCAACCTTAATATTGCCATAGTTATTTCTCTTCCCACTGTTTTCGTTAAGAGGTATAATATTATAGTAATCCAGTTGACCAATTAACAACGTTGGCCTTTAATCTCAGTGAAGAAGATCTCGACAAGCGGGAAGATATGTTCAATAAGGTAAATAGCTTTTCAACTGTTATCGAATACATGTTGTATTATATTTGAAATTGAAAAAAAATTGATAATTTTTTGTTAAAGCTGTGCCAACAAAAACAAAAAGCCGGCCTCGAGGATTGCGGCAGTGGCTTAGAGTGGGGAGACGAGGGCGAGTTGACGTTTCAGACCGTGGTGGACAAACGAGATTGGCATTCAAAGCAGCAACATCAAGATTCTAGTTCATCGGATGATTCTAATTCATCGGAGGATTCTAGTTCGTCGGAGGAGGAACCACGCAACATGAATATGGAAGTTGAAACGACAGATCGTATGTTTCCATCAAGAATTCTTATTTTATTTAATGAAAAAATCTTATTTGATCAAAATTTTATCGAAACGATTTATGTAATTTTAGCTTGGAACAATCCCGAACCACCGAACACTATACTTACACCAGTCAATCCATGGGATGTGGTACCGTCGGAACCAGTAGAATCTACTGGATGGGCTAATTTCGAAAATTTCGAAAATACCTTGAGTATAGAGAATACCGTGAGTGAAGACAAAAAGCCTTGTGACGAACTTAAAGAGGAAACATCAGAAGCAACAGCTGTCAATCTAACGGGAAAGAATTTAGCTTGTAGTGAAAGTGTTGGGGATGGTAACGAAAAGATCACAGACTATGTAGATAGTCAAGTAGTCGAGACGAAGTTACCAGTTGCGGAAATTAATCTCCATGACAGTAAAAGTGACGAGCACAAAACAATTTTTGCGAATGAGAACGTCAATCCTAGCGAGTTATCGGTCAATAGGTATGTATTATATGTATTATAGCATAATAATAGGTATTTATATTTAATCTATCCAATCTGAAATGATTTGTTTCTTCTAGTGATTTTAAGGACACGGAGAAAAGCGAAGCTGCAATGGATACGAAGAATATAGAGAATGAAAAGCCGTCAATTGAACAAGTTCCAGCCGCTTCGTTAGAAAGCACATCCACTAGCACTGTTGACGCCATACCGGTGCCTAAAGACGCTAAATGAAACGTTCCCCCCTGCCTATGTTAAATGATTTGTGACAATAGGAGAGGGGGAGGGGGGGGGGAGAAAGGAGAGAGAATCATATCAGTATCGAATCGTAAACGATTGATCGGATGCATATTGCGCCTTCTCTATTTTTCATTAGACACCACGTTAATTATGCTTTAAGAAAACGTTGATGCTGGGTACATTATGGTCCCGCTGCAGGGTATCTCTTAAAATAAATCCGGAATGCCGAAAAATGATCGACGCTCAACTACACTTAGCGAATAATTTGATGTTTATTATATATAGGTATATCCCATCCCCTTTTTACCTCACCCTTTGAATAGCCAACATCTATAAGTATCCCTGCGAAAATCAAGTCCTCCCTCTGTCCCATATATTTTACAATTATTGTTAAGAGTTTCGTAAATTGTTATTTATACGTAACTGATAACTGATTTCTAACAAAGAAAGCGAAGAATGGAGAGAGAGAGATAAATCGCAACATTTTTGTGCGATTTATATAGACAATTTGTAAAGAGAGAAATGATGGATGAATTTCGCATCCGCTTGCTCCACTCGTGACATATTCAATTGATTTTTTACACCTAGATGAACACACATACGCGGAACATTTACTATATGTTTATATATTTAAAAAGCGGATGAGAAACATAAGAGAAAAGAGTTATCGTAACGCTGTTTAATATTATATAAGACCGGTATTTCACAAACTGGTGCTTTTGCTTATTCCTTCGATAAGGCAAAGGTACTTAGGTGCAGTGCCTACTGTTTAACTGAGTGTACGTTAGTTCAACGATACGATACAAGCAGAAAGAAGAGAGGAGAGAGAAAATCGAGAGTATTTTTATTACCTTTTTGTCGTAATAATCAGTCGAAATTTGTACATGATATCGTATTAATCGAGAGCTCTTGACGAACTTGCGCGTTTGTTTGCATTCCGAAATAACGAAAAAAAAAAAGAAAAAAAAAGAAAGATTTATACGTATCTTTAAGCGACGCGTTGAAAGTCTTTCATCAAGATCTTCCAGAAGTGAATAGTTAAATTGCAGGAACCAAAAAGTCAAAGCGTCGCGCATGCTTCGATTGAGCTACCTTATGTATATCCATCATTCTTCGAGAGATCATTCTACGAATTATGTTACCTGATTGTTCCACGACTTTCTTCTGCCTCGCAGATTTTGCAGCAGCAATGTGTTTATAGCGTTGTACACGAAATATTGTTCATAATTAAATGAAAAAAAAAAGCTAATAAAACATTGTTCTAAAATCCTAAGAAAATGCACGTGTCACAGCATTACAAGTTTAATATCGAAATTTATAAATTGCGTACATTGCACTCTGCGTTGTCTTTACGTTCTATATATATCTTATACGATATATAATTATCGATTTACTAAACATGTCTATCCCGGTAACGTCGTCGTGTATGCGCAGTCTTTACGTTTCACGTTTTAATTTTTGCCTCTCTATCCACGTTTAGATGTAGGATCCAGTTTCTGTCGCTTCAATAGAAAAAATTCGTTGAGATTAGGAGAATTCGTCTTCCTGCGGTGAACTATACAACGATATGTCGATTTTCTCTTGTCTGCAAAGCACAAAAAAAAAGATGATGACATTGAAGTTACTGTTCGAAAGTAAAAGCGTGGCTTTCTTTTTTTAATGGAAATGTATAGACTCTCTCAAGGGACGAGAGTTCTAAAGATTTCCAGAACTTTTTTAATACTTTTTTCAAAATCAAAATTTGATTTATTTTTCAACATAGTCTTCTTTTAAAAAAATACTGATTCATTAAACTGTCCATATGTACGTTTCAAAACTTTACTTTGAGTATAAGAATTCATTCATCATTGATTCTTTATTTTCAGATCGTCTTAAATAATGTCTTATGATAAATGTCTTATGATGTCTTGAACAACAAGAAGAAGGAAAAACAAAACCATATTAGCATCTTAAGACAGATCTTAAATAAAAACCGCCTACGAATACTGGTCCATGGAGTCAACTCTTTTTACTCAGAATAAAATTTTAGAATGTGATCCTGGACGTCCTTCGGATAAATAAAAGTGATATATGTGGGGAAGCAAAGACTATACGTAAAATAAATGAAATGTGTTACCTTTCGGTACTTTCGCTGCTTTCGCTACTCGTTGTATTATCCGTGTCCGTGAGAATTCCAATCTCGTAAACTACAGCTTTTATCACGTATCTAAAGACGGCAAGAAATTATTTTTTACAGCACATAAGATTACTGTAGTATATACGTATTAATTATACATTAAAGGAATATTAAAAGAGATTTACACGTCGGTGTTGGATGAGATCGTTGAATTGTCCGTCGAGCTATCCATCGAATTTTCCGTCGAATTCTCGGTCGTGTTCTCTTGATTATGCGCGAAATCCGGGAAAGGAATGGCATTCACTTGTTGCAACGTCATCGACGTTAATATTAATATAAATAATAAGAGCGCGATGTAGGATGGCCAGAAAGACCGATGTGAAGCGAGTCGCGACATTTTAAAGCTATACGAAGCTGCGAACGAATTCGGCCGCGACTTTTATAGCGATGGACATTTGTCTCTTATTAACACCACCGTGTCTTATACGTAGATACTTTTGCATTACGTATTCTCGATCGGTTCATAAGTGGTTGCGGAAAATTTCCTGGTTGCGCATTGAACGATATGCAGCTGCTGTTGAATTTCAACGAAAATGTTTTATTTGTGAAAAAACGGCTGATACGAAAATTTTGATTCGATTTTTCGTTAAAAGAAAAATTATACTAGCAGCTATATGTATAATTAACTTCCAAGAACATGACATTAGATAATAGAAAGTGACGCGTGCAAATTGTATACAATTGTACGCCGGCGCTTCATAAAGCGGCTCTGTAATTTTCCCGCGACAAGCTTATTAATGAAAATGTCACACTGATAACTCGTTCAAGGTTTTCGAGGAAATCCCTAATGTATTTAACGTAAAATGTATATTTTTCACGGTGACACACATACCATTATAGACGAGCTAAATATTCTTAACGCGGCAATAGATTAATTATATATATAAGAGATCATTGATATTAATATTCCCCCTGATTTCTGATATTATTTGGTGTATAAATTTTAACAGACGTGTATTTCTATCTCTTGTATACTTCTCAATATTTGGATGAAGCATGAAAGTAATATCGGAAGAAGTTAAATTTTTTAAAACAGACTTTGAGACTCCGTCCAATTTTGTCTTCGTATCTTGCCGTTTTAAACGTGATAATTGAATTAGCGTGGTTACGCAAACAAATCGCGTCATTTGGATACGGATATATCGATGCGTATATATATTTAATTATACAGTATTACATTCTGCAAAAATCCGGTACCTCATCAAATACTATTTTAATCAAAATGACTGGAGACGTTATATGTACGTACGTCAGCAATAATTAACAAATGTGTACGCAAGTACTTCAAATAAGGTTTATTGTTATTATAAAATTAATCGAGAAAAAAATATCAAATGAAAGGAAATAAAGTAGAAAATAGGTTTTAGTTTGGAATAATAAAAACACAACTTCTCTCTTTAATTAAAGACATATAACTCAACCAGCAAATCTTATTACACATTATTATATAATTTTATTACAAAAATCATTAAAGTATATGTATACATAACAATGAAAGAAAAGAGTAGTAGAAAGAAAATTTCCGTTTGCACGGAATAATTGAAAAGTGGTTTTGTTTAAAGACAACTCAGATACATATCTTATTATATACATAATTTTTTAATTTTATTATAAGAATAATTATAAATTATATATACATATTATACGTAATGAGAGAAACTCTGGAAAGTATTATATATATTTGTATAATTTTAGCGAGCGTATTTTTATCAAGAATAGGTAAAGAAGGAACCTGTTTGAACGTTAAATCACGCGCAGCTAGTAAGCTGCATAGATCATAGATAGCACCAGCATCTCAATTTTGCATGGTTATCACGAATTATCAAATAATATATATAATCGTATATTATTGTTTACGCTCGAAGTATTTTTTTGGTGCTTGCTGTATAATAAGCCACGAGATATAGATTTTTTGGAATTTAATGTTCGAGTGAATTTCTACCGGAATACTCGCGAAACATGACGAGTGCCGTAATAACGGACGTACAGCAACCGAGTTATCCTAAGTATGGAAAGCAACAACAGGTTAGGATCTCAGTGTTTAATGTATAAGATTTATGATTTATAATCGAAAAATATAAATATGTATTGCCTGTATTTGATTAAGATTAAAGGACAAGACGATAATTTTTTTACTACTTTATACGTGTATTTTATTTATTCGTAACATATGTAATAGAAATTATCTCGAATCTAATCGTAATCGTGCGAATTGCAGGGAGGACTGGAGTTGATGCCAGAAGAGATAAATGCTTTACGTCAATGTATGAAAAACACGAGTATCCTCGCGCCAACGATCATCTCTGCAGCCATAGGATATGGGATATGTAAGATGACTCCATTTCGCGCAAATGCCAAATACGTTGCGGTAGCTAGTGGCGTGGTAGGTCTGGTGACAGCTAGAATAGGCGCTGCCAAAATGTGTCTAGCGAAAGTCGCTTCCATGCCGAACAGTACTCTCCGAGACAGAATTATGGATTCGCAGGGCTATTTTGGAAACATTTCTCCTCATGGGTATTACTTTCGGAAAACACAATTACCTGTGTTTATTTACGTTTATCGAAGCTAGGTCTTATTGATCTTTGTTTGTAGAGAGAAATTATATTATAAAGGTCCTCAACCAGATGGTCAGAGCCCGACAGAACCAGGAATAGTGTTCGACGATTATCCACCAATGAATTCATACGATACGTTTTCTAGTATCAATCCAGACAACAGTGAGTTGTTAAAAATTATCGTTCAATTTTCTACCACTGCGTGATGATAAATAACTGAATAAATTATGTTTAAAGGCGATTTCTCCGAGGACACGGATTTGTCCGAACCGGTAAATCTGCAAAAAGGCGTCAGTTATGAAGAATTGAGGCATAATAATAGAGATGAGTTCTACAACAAAAATAAACAGTGGTATACTCCTAAAACTAGAGAGCTTCCAGTAAAGAGAGAGACAAGCGAACAAGTTCCTACAACCAGCAGTCAGTCACCAATGCAGGAGAAAACTAAATACGGTGACGTGTGGGGTTAAAATTGAATTTTGTCAGCGTATATATATTTGTTAATCTCCGCGTATTGCGGATACTATATGTGTACATATGAATACGTAGATGGCAAATGTGATAAGAAAGTTTGAATTTTACTAAATATGAATAAAATAAAAACGATATATAAATCACGTTTGCGCAACAATCGAACTCTGCGCGCGACGAAAATACCGCATTCTTGTCGTCCAAGTGCGACATGTTGAATGATTCACGAGCTTAGATGGAAATGCGCGATGTAACTCGTGTACTACCACTCATAATTGAGTCACAATCTCGCGAGATAGCGGTGAGACACAAACGGCTATGAAGCGGCTAATTGATAGATGACGCCAGGCCATAAATGCGCGGGTATAAACGCGGCTGCCTCACAAAGCAGGGCGCTCTCGCGTCACCGTCATCCCGGCTATGGTGTCATCCCTGCCGTGTTGTGTCACCTTGACGTACCCAGGATAGAAACCTCGCTCACTTCCCTGTCATAAGAGCCCGTCGCCGCGCGCGCTCGTTCCCTATACTTTCCATAAGTTAGCCGATAATTGCCGTTCGGTATTTGTCGTACGACTCGCGTCCCGATTTGCATCGACTCGCCGAAGTCGTTATACATTTTCCTCGCGCATTGCTCGCGAGAGCGATTATCTCGCGCCACCCTCTTGTCATCGAGCGACTTATAATCGCCGTGTGCCGGAGAAATTGGAATTGCCGTTCTTGCCTTCGGGTCGAGTTGTGACTCGTAAACGCCTTTCGCGCCTTTTCACGCGCAACCGATTCACTTCGTGTTCGCCCGACGTTATCTATCCGCGATTCCCGCGCGATAAGCGCGATTCTCGCTCGGCTCATGCGAAATCCTCGGCGAGAGAGTCGTACGATAAAAAGAAAAACGGCGATAGTAATTATTTACGTAATTATAAGATAAAATAGATAAACGGCGAGGCAATAATACAAGAGCGTAATATAAGCGCTCGCCGCGTTTCCCAGCCGCTTTCAAAGGTCTCTCCGGGGTTTGAGTTACGATTTAAAGCGATTTCGCACGATTAGTAATTTTTGCAGAAAAGTCAGTAGCACGGCACGGTATTAATAGGATCCGGTTGATTTACTTCGGTATCTCTTCTCGATCTTCTCGTTGTCGCTCGCTGTATTCTCGACGTAGTATCCTATATACATACAAAGAGTAACATCGTGCATGCACATACACTTTATTATACGTTTCGCTTTACTTGCCCGCGCGCGCCGTGCTTGCGAATGCGAGTCGACAGCCATTGGCTATCGGGCGCGACCAATGGGCGCGAGTACTACTCCCATTCATAAGTCGCGTCGCTTCCGCGGGGGACGTAGGTGGGGAGAGCGGCGCGCGAGCGGTACCCCTGCGCTGCGTCTCGCGGCTAAATTCTGACCGGTCAGCCGTGCTCGTCATTTGTTCGCTCGCGCGCGCGCGCTCGCTGTCCCGTATTGTCCCGAGAGTGTCCCGCGCGAGCCGGTTTTCCGCAAATAGAACACACACAAGTCATGATATCATTAAGGCCCAGTTTCGCAACTCACAACATATTTCTCGTCTCTTTCCAATTCTAGAATTAAAAAGAGATAATAAGGAATAGAGGTCGAACCACGATTAATCGTGATTTGTGAAACTGGATCTAAGACATATAATATCATCGTGACCTTATTAGTCACTTATAAGTTCAGCTTTAAGTATATCAAATGACACGACGATGACATCCCATGATATCATAAATATTATGACTTAATTATATGACTGTGTGTGTTCCACCTGGGTCTCGGCCGGGGGTCATTTTTAATTCTGAACTCGATGACATGTCCCGCTGTCATTGCGTTTTATCACGCAAACTTGTCATTCTCTTCGTCTATCGATAAATAGCCTTTCGCATTAATTTCTCTAAATTACGGTAATTTAATGTTCTCCCGCGAACTCTGTATTTACGTATACACGACTCTCTGCCTCATAATTATTCCATTACTTTACCAACGGCGTACCATGAAAGTAATTACAGTAAACTCTAAGGAAAAACGGAGACATTAAGCGCTCATTGTTCGTTTACAAGCATCGCGAGTCGTACATTATTTTCTTTATCGTCGTATTGCAAGTTAATTTCAAATTTGGAAAGCAAACTTGCCCGAGCGTTTGCGATCACGTCGTGGTTTACTTAATGATGTTGCACAGGCGCGTCTTTACAAGACGAGAGAGGAGAGAAGGATTTCCGAAACTCGTAAGTTACTCGGCGTTCATTATATCTTTCTCGAAGTAATCCAGTTCCCAGGAAACGTCTCCCTCGGTCGGGCGTAAGGAATGTAATTCGCGCTGTATTGCGTACATTTCGGAGGGATTACTTCTGAATCTCCCAGGAAACTCTCGTCGGAATTTCGAGCGTTGCCATATACGTGTTTGTGTGTGTGTGTGTGTGTGTGTGTATATATATATACACAACGTCGCGCGCGCGCGCGTCACGATTCACGTGCCTGGTTAAACGATCACGTGTAGAAAGGGGAGTCACGCAGGTGCAGGTCATGTGAAATATTTGCACTTTGTCGTAATTTGCGTAACCCATTGCATATATAATAAATCCGCGCCGCGCGGAGCTAAAGCGCCGCGATAGAAAATCGTTTCACAATCTAAAGAGAAAGGGAACCTTTCTGCCTCGTCGCGGTCGCGAGGAAGAGGGAGGGCGAGGAGAGGAGAGGAGAGGCGCGCCGGCGGGTGGATGGGGGATGAGGGAGGAGGGAGAGAGAGAGAGAGAGAGAGAGAGCGCGCAGAGATGCATGCGTCCGCTTCTTCGTGTATTATGCGATCGCATTATGGACGCGCACTGATATCGCGCGAGAAGCGCGTCGCTCGCGCATTCTGGACTGATCGAGTCGCGGCGATTTGCGGAATACGATTAACGCTTAACTTCGTTAACGCGCGATCTCTCTCGGGCATCCGTAAACACAGATTTATCACGAGACCCGTTTTCAGACTTAATAATCGATTTAATTCACCCATAGGCGTAATCAGGATTTTGTTAAGGCAGACCGCCAAACTAGAAACGAGACTTTTCAATCCAAGGGGGAGGATAGTCGACGAGTAATATATAGATTGTTGGACTTGTTTTGTTTTTCTTATTATTTTCAATTAAATATATTTTTTTACACTAGACAAATCATAATGTAGATTAATTTTAATGTCGATTTAATTTGCTCCTTAATTTTTCCCCAAATTCTTTCATGAAAAAAAAAAAAAACTGTCGTGGTTAAATTAATGAGATATGCTGAGTGAATATTGATATGGCAGTAAATAGAATTTCTAATGATTGTAATCAAACATTTTGGGGTACTCAACCAAAACACGTAGGTATCGAGTTAACCGGTTAGAGTTTCATTAGTGTGTATGTAGTAATAATATATTTAATATCTATAAGCAAGTTATTATGACTACAAGAGAAAAAGGGCATGATTGGATTAACGTGACACATAAACCGGTTAAAGAAATATTGGTGTAGAACTAAATAGATTTTCTGGTTTATCATAATTAAATAATCTGGTTATTTTTCAATCAAAAGTATTTCCATCAGAATCCATGCAACCAAAAGTGTCGAATTACCATAACTAGAATATATGCCCTCAAATTTGTTTATTTTAACATTTATGAAAATATGTGTGTTGGTTCGTTTACGATATACGTACGTGTTTCAGGTTCAACCATTTTTTTTAGTATAGAATTAAAGAGAGATAATAAGCAAATATTAAACCGAGATTAAAGTTAATCTGGGAGAAACGAGCGCAAGTATGTAAGAAAATATACGAAGAAAAAGGACAAACGCGAAGATTAAAACGCATTCGCATCTTTTTAATTCTAGACTCTTCGTCGCGTTCTTATAATTGCTCCTGAATCCTTTCGTTTCGCGTTGAAAACGGCGTACGATCAGTTTGTCCATGCAAAAATCCCCAATGCAGCCTTCCATTTTCGTTGGGAGAAAGTTAGGTGCGTGATCGAACTTGTTATACGTATTACTTTATAACGGCATAATAAATGGCTCAAAACACAAAATTATGCACCAGCAATCGTGACCCTGCAGAGCTCTGCTGTTTAGCATCGCAGGGATTTTGCAGGAAATACATGAAATTAAGATAAACACAGCTATGCGATGTCAAATAAATATAAAAATAAAGATACAATTTCGAATGTTTTCAACCAACAGTCACGTGATATCTATATAGATACAGGGTGCAGCTCTTTTACGTGTCAAGGCGTTTGCGACGGTTTAGTTACATCATGTGGTATTGTTTCAAAATTAATTATTACGCCACTCTTTCAAACCGGTCGTTATTTCGCGCCGGCCAGGGTGAGTCGCGCGCGCGCTGGACGCCAGTCACGTGACGTGGCGCGCGTGTCGCGATTCGTTCTCGCGTGAATTCAAAATTCGCCCGCGTCTCGACATGTAGGGTTCAGACGGCGGCGGGGGTGTGCGTTCGAGGGATGCGTATTCGCTCAAAATACGCGATCGAAGAAAGTAATCGCGAGACGGCGGCGGAGCGGGGGAGAAATCAGGAGAAGAGGACACAGGAGGGCAACACGTTGAGAGAAGTGTGCCAAAGTCGGCGGAGGTAGGAGAGAGACCCTCGATAGCTCACGTCGATAATCGCCGAGACGAGACGCGCGAGTTGTGCGGAAAAAGGACGCGATGATCTGCGGAGCGCGTTCGCTCGATCGAGACGGCAGAATCGTAGGAGACCGAAGGTGAGTGAGGAGGGTAGGACATTATATGCGGGAGGGGGAAAGTGTGTGTGTGTGTGTGGATGAATACTCGACGCGAGAGCGGAGAAAGAGAGAGAGAGAGAGAGAGAGAGAGAGAGGGAGTGAGAGGCGCTCGCGGTGTCAGGACGGGGGCGTGCGCGCTCGATGGCCGCCTAGACCGCTCGAATCGGTCGCGCCCGGGGCGTGAGCCAGGCGCGCGCGAGATCGGGAATGTACGAGGGAGAGAGACAGCGAGTAGCGACACACTCGCGCCGCGGAGGGCTGCGTTCGCTATAAGCAGTTACTCTGGAACCGTTGCCTTGACGACACGCATCCACGCATGCGCGTGCGCACCGCGGACGGTATACGCGAGCGCAGTTCAAGAGTTGTGTGCGCGCCAGTTTCATCCGTCACCCTCGCCACCGTATCATCATCCGTTTCCACCACCACCACCGCCACCACCTCCACCTCCACTGCCACCACCACCATCGATACCCTCCCTCGCCACCGTCATCACCCTTGCCTTATCGTAAGTCTCTCTCTCTCTCTCTCTCCGCCCTCATCCTCGTGGTCCTCCGCACGCGCGCGCGCACGTCAACGCGTTAACGGGAGTGCGCGCTGTCACCGTCGAGAAACGTCATTTCGCGGATCTTGTGGCGGTCGACCACGATCGCTCGCGAACGCGCGCGCGTTTCGTCCTTCCCGAAACACCCGCCTGGAGCCTCGCGAAAATTTAAATTTCACGCCGTACGTCCGATTTGTCCGCGAGTGCCGGCTGCGAGCTGACGAAAGTGTTTTGTCCGACAGGTGACCGTTCGCGGGAAAAACGAAGGCGATCGTCGGGAAGAGGTACGTCCCATCGATCGATGATGCCGATTTCTCGGAGAGGCATTCTCCTGACGGAGGAATTTCATCGCCAGTCCTCCACGTGAACGTCGCATCGAGCTAGTTTCGAACTTACCCGATGTCTCCGTTTGGGAAACGCGTCACCGCGAGAACTCGGAGAGTATCGTCAGTGACTCGTGTTTTCATTTCGTAATCGGAGTCGAATGCTTCTCCCTGCTCGCGTTAGTGACGTCCCAGACAGCGGCGCGTTGGCGGCGTCGGCGACGACGGCAACGACGACGACGTCGCCGATCGGACTGCTCTTTCTCACGAGGAAAAGTAACTTGGACTAATCGTATAGTGAACGCGCCGCTATTCTTTTACGGGACGCGATGCTCGCAACGACATTCGACGGGCACTCGGCAGCCTGGTGCGGGATAGTGTTCCGCGCACGGAATTCCTTGGATTCGACGCGCGGGACGTCAACGCGGTTCCGATATACGTGACTGTCGTGATCGCCGAGTATCATCGGATATCGCGAATCAAAGTGACATTGCGTGAGTATACGGTACAAGTGATGTTCCGTCTTCTATCACGATCTATCCGGATATTATTGTCCCCGAGAACCAGAGTGACGATCATCGGCGGATAAGGAACGCACGAGAACGAGTGTGATTGGATGGTATAAGTTTGAAAATTAATCCTCGGAGGAATCCCATGCAACCTTCGCTGCGTCTCCGCGGAAAATGGTTATAGTACCGCCGCGCTGTCCTCCTCTACCTCGATCGACCTGAAGAAGAACGATCGCGAAAGATTTAAACAGTCGGAGGAGGAGGGATCCGCGAGGATCCGCGCGAATCGATCCTCTCAGCCGTCGGCCGGTGGATATCACGGCGCGAGCGGCAACGGTCGGAGGGTTGGATGGTGCCGCGAGGATTAACCCTCGGCAGGACGACGACACGGGAGTCGGAGCCGGAGCAGCTACGTTTTTACGACTCTCCGCCGCCACGGATGGACGCGAGCGTGTGCTGTCTGCCCGCCGGTGCCGCGGCCACCACGGGGGTTACGCAGCACCCTCATCCGGCGTCTCTGCCCGGTTTACCGTCCGCCGTCGGCGTCCAGCCGCCGACGATCCAGCCGTCCTACGCCGCTCAGTACGCCGCCGACCAGATAGTGCCCGATCGGGCCCAACCCGACGGACCCCTCGGGTCGACGGTACTCGGATGCAACGCACAGGACACCTGGCAGCAGATCTCGTCGACGACGTCTACCGGGATCACCGGGGCTGTCACCGCCACCACCACCGCCTACATCGACTACTCGTGGCTACAGATGCAGGTAAATAGTCTGGGCGAAGTTATCTGGAAACGCGGACAATGTAGGTTAACTTTAATCTTGATTTAACTTGTCTCTTATTTTATCTTCTTCTACTTTTAAGAAGTGGAAAAAGATAAGGGACAATTAAATTAAGATTGATGTTTATCTCTCATCTCTTTGATACCGAAATGCAAAATTGTCGTATTGTGTGAAACTAAAACACACACACACACACACGCGTGTGTACGTATTTAATTATAAGTTCGCACATAATATGAAATAAATTTTAACATTGTGGAATATCACACACATCGTGTACGGAATTGATTAATGAACGAATAACTCAAAGCTGTCGAGGAAAAAAATAAGAGTGAGTTTTCCCTCGTTGCTTCTGGAATTAAATAATGCATCGGAAGAAAGATCTCTCTGAGTCTCGATCGAAGGAAATCGAATGAATCCATTAGCAGCGATTAGTAGTTCAGTCAAGAAAATTACACCGGAGTCTATTTATGTCACGACTTTTGTATTCCTGGCACAAGACGAATCTTCGGTTAATTAAGCGTAACTCAACTTGGTATGCGACATCCATGATGCAAATGTCGGTTTAATTAAACAGTAATATCTCTCTATTGAACCTCGCTTGGTAATCGCGGCTTGAGAGAATTATTCGATTCTCGCTTCTTTTTTTAGATACAATAGACCGAAATATCTACGCGACCGCACACGTGTCACTTTCAGCTGACCGAGGCAGATTTTAATCGTAAATCTGAGATTATAGGTTTCCAACCAGGCGTAATGTTGCAGCTGTTAATATTTCGCCGGATATATTGATTATCGGGTATACGCCTTGGAAGAAAAACTCGGTAGGAATCGATACTTAATTCTGCTCATTACATTTGAAATTTAACTCAAGTACCATGATTAATGCGATTTGCTTTTATTCGCGGCCGTTATCGATTTCCCATTAACGCGTCGGTGTGATTTACATCGGCGATATATCGAGTGGTTATAGATAGTGGATCTCGGAAAAATGATGATTATTTACGTTCTTAATCATTCGTCAATCGCGCACGGCTCGTTTCGGCTCCGCGCGGCGCAGCGCTTCGCGATAATGTATCAATTCCCGGGAAGCGCTAGATCGTAAAATAATAGAGCGGAGTAATAATACCCATTACTATTATCTCGGTACGAGTGAGTACGTTCTCCCCTTATAGACGTGGCGGCGTCTCCGTCACGTAAAGCCACGCTGTTGACAGGGTAAATATCCTTTGATACCGCGCCGTCCGTCTGGCACACGCGTCGTACGCCTCTCTTCTACCTTACGAAGGAAGTTATCTATGTGGCACACGTGTGAGTGAGTGAGTGCGTGCGTGCGTGCGTGCCTACGTCCGTGCGATCTCTCACGCCACGAACGAGAGCGTGTACTTTTCACATTACGAAGGCCGTTTCGCTTGTCGTTAAGGCTTCAGGATTTTCGTAAAGACCGCTATTTCGTTAATGAATTTGTTGGCCGTATACACAGGGTGTTCCAAAAAAAGCCACCGATAAATCGTTCTTATTGCAGTTTTCTTTTGTACCAGTTCGAGGGCAATTTTTTTCAACGAAAAATATGTCGAGGAATGCCTTTCTTTGTTGTGTTTTTTTTTTTTTTTTTGGACTTCTTAACAATTTATGTATCTAGCGAATAATAACGAAAAGAAAGATATCCAGTTTTTATTTCGGAAGGTGCCTGTATATGTTCTTATCGTCTTGATGCGATTTGCGAAAGCGCGTCGGTATCGAATTTGTTCTCGCGCGATATTAGTTCTTGTTAAATATCTCAGAAGAAACCGAGATGTATTATATACTTCCTCTGTATGTAGCTTTTCTCGTTTCTTCTTTCATACATAAATGATTTTACGCGAATTATAAATTGATTACTGAGATCGAAATCGATCAATCAAATATGGAAAGTTTTCTGTTCGCGATGTTATCAAAAGAGAAAAGGCACGCGCGACGTTTCAGTCTCTCCCGGCCGAGACGAAAAGCCGGTCTACGAATTTTGCACAACGAGCACCTATTTACTTTAATCGGAAACCGGTTTTTTGATACCGTTATCGACTCCTGGATACCGTGTTTTGACGTATAAAACCACGATTCGCCGTCAAATATCGATAGTGTTTAAAACGAAACGACTGGATGTTATAACAATCGCGAAGGAGATATACTTTTTATTTACGAAAGACATTGGCATTTCTGTCCCGTAAAATCATACGAAAGTATTACACTTCCTCCCGAAATTGTGTGTTCAAGTCTAAAGGAATCAATTTTGTCCGATAATGGATGAAATTTTTGATAATTCATCCAAAATTTTACTTTCGGCCTGTATTTTTTCATCGTGTAATATAATTATATGATTTTTTTATGTATGCAATACATTATTCTAATATTTTCTTACATTAAAATTAAAAATAATATGATTAATGAAATTACATTTGAAGGACCCGAAATCAGAATTAAAAAATATTATTCATTAGAAATATTGTGAATATTATAAGGAAAAAATTTCGTTGAAGCATCTCGAAATTTAGCCAGATAGACATCTGAAAATAATTTTGTTGGATTATCAAAATAATTGTGTAAAATACTCAAGTTGATTATTAGAACATGTTACAACTTTTCGCAGCATTACTCCTCATGTTTGATTTTCCTCTTTCTCTCTCTCTTGTTTTGGTTAACAAAATTATTTTCAGATCTTTACCTATTTACTCTTTAAAATATTTAGAGTGAATTGTCACTCTGGAGAGTGAAATCCAACTCTTAAAGATTGATAATGAATTTTTCAAGATTCAATCTTCACTCATTAGAGTGAAATTCCATTCCAAAGAATTTAGAGAATATTCAAACTTTAGATACTTCAGCAAAATTGTTTTTCATGTGTATTCTAAATATAGTATCGTACATCTACATTAAAAAATTTTTTTTTACTATACTCATATATTTGTGTATTCTCGCTTAGACTTTTCTTACATTCTTCAATTACAATTTTCTTCAGTATAAGAGCTCGATATACACATCTGGGTCTCACGCCGTCGTCGGCAGGCGGGGACGCTCGACTAAATCGCGACCGGTAATTAGCCGATACCCCCGACGCAATCTAAACGCATTGTGACGCGTGTAAGATAATAAGCGGACGGAAATCCACGATTATTGTGCTGCTCGAGCCAGAAAGGACATCCCAACCACCACCGGACGAACCATTTCCACGGTTCACCGCCCTTCGTTTCAAAACTGCGTACGATTACCGTTCCATCGCCGATTATTTCAGTCGCTGTACAAATACAAGCAGGGGAGACGGAGAGGAAAAGCAGAAGCGCGATTAACATCGAGCGGAGATGATGACCTAACCGAAAATACGACGCTAATATTGTTCGCGTCGCTTGGTTTATTTCTACCGACTGGCAACAATTTTTTATCTTGTAATGAAACGTTATAACGGCTCGCAAGAATTGCTTTATTGCAATTTCTCGCATTACAGATATACACATTTTTTGATATATTGCTTTATAATAATTATTATTTGCACAGTTTTTGTGTTAGTCTCATCCTTAAATTTTTTTCACCACACGTTACTATGTCCTCTTAATTCTTTGGAGTGAAATCTCACTCCAAAAGAATGAAAATTCTGTCACTCTTGAAAAAGTAAGAGAATTTTCTCTCTTTTGGAAAGAGACTTTATTCTTTTGGTGGTTTACTTTCAAAGAATTTAGAGAGTATATTTTCAAAGTTTATTACAAACTCTTTTTTTATTTTCGATGAAAAATTTTTGACGCACGACAGGAATGTAGGACAGAATGACAGTTCAGATCGACGCGAATATAAGGAGTCAGACTTACTGTATATCGAGATGTAATTGACCCTTTCCCCCGATGTTTTCTATGATTCCGAAGAACTCTTCGACCCGTCGTCATATTATCCAGCTCGTAGCCAGTGACTCACGTCGAATCGCGAACGTTGTGGGCGTGCAGTTACTTACGTTCTATACTTGCACTCACTTGGGGTCGATTGCGGTCGGATCATGTGCTTCAACAATGGGATTTGCGCAAAAAGAGCAAACTTTTTATCCCCGTTACATTCTTTCTATCCTTTTTTATTGTTGTTATTTCCAAGAGTACAGTTAACTCTTTGAAAGAGGACGAGACATGAGGATTAATTACGCTACATTACAGTAGTTATATAACAGAAAGTGTCAATTAGTATTATAGAAAACAGAAATAATCTAAAAGCATTTTATAGTCTTTTTAATGCATTACACAAATTATTGTGCTGATGAAAATTATTTAATCGATAAATAAAACGTCAATATTATCTTGAATTGGAAAAGACTGTAATTTTTTCGCTCTTTTCATACGCGTCTCCTTTTTTCTCCTCTTCTCTTTCTCGCAATATTATTGGGTATTGTTGGAGCTAGCTTGAAGTTGCCTGTAAAGTTTACGTCGACAGAATATTCCAAATTCTAAACGAATGTAGAAATATGCGGAACGTGCGCAAAACGTATGCATTAAACACCCGCAAATATCGTTACTTGCTACCGTGTCCCTATTATTTACGCTCGAGCACATTGTATATTTCCATAAGTATGCAGCAGTTGCAATTTTCCCTTTTACGTTACTTTGTTTTCTCCGATAATCATCAAGTAGCTCACAGCGTCCACGTAATGGTAACTGCGTAATCGCGGCTTTGTAGAAATTGCCATTCCTTCCTCCAGATATCGACTAAACGCTATTTGTAAAGATTGAAGCATGGAAAGGATGGAGATTATCTTGTTATCATTAATAAAGTATCGTCAATTTCTACATTGTTCATGTATTCGTAACAAGTGATGATTAATCACAATATAAACGTTATGAGCGTTTGTTATAAAATCGAGTAAAGTCAAATATTTTTAATTTGCGTCAAATATCATCGGAGGTTTAAAATGATTTTGATTTGATGTATTTAGAGCTTTAGCTTGAATTGCTAATCATACTACAGAGAGAGAA